TAAAGTCCAATTCTGATTGGTAGCCAACCGATTAGAGTCTCGGTGGGCTTCATATTCTTTGGTTATTTCGGTAAAGTCACGTAAATAAATAAAAAAGTGAATAAAAAGAATAAATTAAAATAATAAACAAAAAAAGACGAATGTAGACCCTAGCCTGGTTCTTAATCGGAGTGAGCGTATTGGCAGTCTATGATGTAGACTGTATTTAAGCTGGTGAGCGTATTGGCAGTCTATGATGTAGACTGTAGCAATGGTTATTAACCTGAGTGAGCGTACTGGGAGTATATAATGTATACTGTAGCCTGGTTTTTAAGCTGGTGAGCGTATTGGCAGTCTATGATGTAGACTGCAGCAATGGTTATTAACCTGAGTGAGCGTACTGGCAGCATATAATGTATACTGTAGCCTGGTTTTTAAGCTGGTGAGCGTATTGGCAGTCTATGATGTAGACTGCAGCAATGGTTATTAACCTGAGTGAGCGTACTGGCAGTCTATAATGTAGACTTATTATTGGTTTCTTTCAGGTGGGCTCCTTGCAAGTAAGAGGCTGGCGCGCCCTCTCGTGGCCACGCGGCGCCACTCGCAGCTATTGGCCACCTTGATCACCCCGTGATCCTGATGACGGTGCCCCGGGGTACCAAATAACAGAAACTGGCCGAGGCAATTAAATATGTTATTTCTGGGACACTATATTTTTTTCCCAGGGGTGTTACTTAACTCCGCGACTGGGGTTACCAATCAATCGGACATCGGTGGTGCCACACTCCGCGATGTCGAAACAGCCAAGCGCAGCATTACAAAAAAAAATTCCTTTATCGAAAAATGCATCTTTGCATCGTTGAGTTACAGCTCGTCGAGATGAGTCGATTGTCGCATCGCTGACCACCAACAGGACTAAAAACGACGGCGTCACGGGCACTGTGCGAGAGCCGGGGTTACGAAGGTACCCCGGGGGTTGAAGGGAGAGAGAAGGGCGTCGTTTGACAGAGCCACGCTGGTGCCCGTAAGCGTCGTGGTTGTCGCAATGGAGCCCAGGGATGAGCAAGCAAACCTCGCGGCTTCGTGAGCCGCATGCGGCGCCTTTTTAAGGACTGCTTCGTGATGCGCCGCTTATGAAGGAGCACCGCCTCGTATTCGCATTGCATTGCGCCTCGTCTTGTTGTTTTGGTTTGCTTTCGCAACGCGCGGCTCTCTTGCTATAAACTATGAACATTTATTTGTTTAATTTGACCAGGTAAAGGCCGCTGAGTGCATGTCTTTTTTTTTTGTCAGAAGCGACCTCGCTAGAAATGACAGCCCAACGTAGTGGTTTGGGGCAGTCCATAAATGACGTCACGCGATTTTGGACGATGTTTGACCCCCCCCCTTCGTCACCAGTGGCACAAAAAGTCAGACCCCCCCTCAAATGACGTCACAAAGCTCTGCCCCCCCCCCAAATATATAAAGCATGCTTCAAATCGCTTTAAACTATTGCCATTGTAGTGCGTATTTAATGTGGCGCTGCACTCTGATGTTGTAGAAGAAAACATTTATTAAAAAGTCTATGTAATTAAGTAGAACGTGGTTGTCTATATTTATTTAAAGTTGCGCATTTTGATGTGACGTCACATTTCTCAAACCCCCCCTCGTCACACATCATCACAAATGTCTGATCCCCCCCCCCCGCCCCCCTAGGTGCGTGACATCATTTATGGACGACCCCTTTGTCGTGTGGATGTCTATCAGCCAAATACTCTCAACGCGTGATGCTCATTCTTTAAATGTGGAGGCCAAAACCGGAGGACCCGGACAAATAACAAAATCCACGCGACCACGAGGAGAGAGAGAGAGAGACGCAAACTCCCAAGTATACAGGAGTCAGGGTCGGGGATAAAACCTCCTGTATACCCGGCGAAGTTGTTAACATCTAGCCACGTTTTACTAATTGGCAACGAGCAACCCGCGCGCCCTTCTGGACGTGGCCATCCGTCCGCTCCTCTCCCTTGTATTGCTGTACATTGCAATGTCTCGACTTGTCACTTTGTGTATATATGTGTTTCTACTATCCCTCTCTGTCCCCTATATGACCTCTCCCACTCCCTCGATATTGGGCTCCTCACCTCAACTGTGTCTCACCGCAATTTCTCTCCCCGCGTCTCAACATTTCACCCTTGCGCTATCTCTCACTCTGGATTTGTTTGCGGCTCCTCAGGGGTTTTCCCCCTCCACATTTAGTCATCGGGAATTTGCGTTTAGAGTATGTGGCTGTTGTAAGTGTCCACACGATGATAAGCCACTTCACTGAGCTATCACTTGTGATAGCCAGGTGGCTTCTGAAAAACAAAAACGGCTACATATCTCGGTTGGGGTCTTGGTAAAATGTAAAAGTTTTAGTTTATTCTCACATGGCCATTACCGGTCTCAAGCTCTCTCGCATCTCCCCTTTCTCCCCTCGTTCCCCTATTCCACGTTCATCTCTCTCTCTCTCTGTCATGACTTAAAGCTTTCGTGACTGCAGTAATTCATACTCTTTACGTCTTTCGGTAAAGCCACGTAGATTGTTAAAAGAAAATAACAAAAAAAACTACGACGTTTCGATCGCAACTCTCTTTTGTATTTATCCTCTCTGTTTCCCTCCCGTATCTTCCTCTGTGATCTCTCTCCTCTTCCTCCTCCTAATCCCTTCCTCGCCTCCATCTCTCACCACTGCTCCCGTTTGCTTTGCAATACACGGCCGGGGTGGAGGGTGGCGGTGGTGGGGGGGGGGGGTGCGTCGTGACGTCAACGCGTACGAGCACGGCCGGACGCTATGGGATGCGGGTGACGTCATCACGCAGTTATGTGATTTGACGCCACCACGCTCGGGGCATTCGACCGTCCCCGAGTCAGCCAGCAAAACTTTTTTTTTGCATCTAATATGTAGGCAGATATATGTCTCACTCATGTATCCTTTAACCGCATAATTAACGCATTTCTCATACATCTCAACTGTAGAATATGTTATAAATGGCCCTAAAAAAACACGCAAATATTAAAACACATTTTTTTTGCATAGTAAAATAATTGTATTTTTTCTTTTGCTATACAGCCAGATAATGTAACAAATCGATAACCTTAAACACCCAGTCGTTCATACAAGTTGAAGGCAGTCTATTACTATAGTAATGGAGCAAGTGCAGAATCACTGAACCGGAACAGATAGCTTGAAAGCATTTAGCGTTGGAGCCCTTGAAAGTGCGGGGCCCGTAGCTACTACATTTGCTACCTTTGCGACGAGGATCATCCGGCAGTGGCAGTCAGGCGCACTTGGATCAGCGCTGGTTGAAACTGCCAGATGGCCCGCACAATTAACACAGTTGGCTACGTACGATGGGAAAGAAGTTCAACGTACATTGTATATGTAAGCAAAGCATCTTGTTTTTTTTATATATCGGTCATCGTATTGTGTTGGGTTTTTTTTTCGCGCGACCTTGCAACTCGGTGGTTCTCGTGTCTAGCTCAGCTCCGTAGCCCCGCGTGTGAAGTTGCAGCCCGGTTTGCCGTTGACATCTCGAGAGATCATTGAGGCTCAACTTGACCGTTATCCCGGGTCCTACATGCCAAGATGAATCTCAGGGCACTTTAGAACTTGATAAAGCTCGAGTTCAAGATATATATATTTGAATACGAACAATTTACAAACACACTTTATAAATGCAACCTGTGGAAAGTTGAAAACATGACATTTCACCAGAAAAATGTAACGAGCAAGGCTTTATTCACACGTTTCACTTACAGAAAATCGTCAAACTACACTCCTAATAAGACTGAAATTAATTTAAATAAGCTTGATAAAGATTCATCATTTTCAGTAAATTTCCCAATATGAATTTTTTTTCAACATCGTGAAATTTAGAAAGTAAGGAAGTAGATTTTCTAGATAAAAATTCCACCACGAAAAAAAGGCTCAGAACCGGATTGACTTTGCCTGTACGCAGAGCCGTCCCTAAGGGCGGGAGAATTGGAGCGACTGCCCCGGGCCCCACGATTTGGGGGGCCCTGTGCTTCGACGTGACGGTGTCAGATGTAAAACTTCCGGTTTAGTTTGAAGGCATCGAGGAGCCCACACGGTGTGATCTGCCACACGTCCCGCATGGAGGATGATCTTTTGAGCATAAATTTAACATGTTCTATAAAGCATGACATTTTGAACATATGTTTAAAAGAAAACTCGACAAATCAATAACACTTCCTTCAAAATAAATCGTATATATAATAGGCAATGTTTCTGACAATGCTTCTTCACATAACATAGGCTAGAGATCTAAATAATATTTTATCAGTAGCATTTTCTATGATATAAAGTGCTGTATCCAATTGTTATCAACTCTACATCTCTGGCTTATGTGCTGTGCCAAAAGGGTCATATCCCAAACCTCACCTATTATATATGCTTTCTTTTTAAGGCAGCGTTAGTGACGAATGCGTTGACTTTATTTAATTTGTGCTTGTGCACCACTGCCAAATAAGTTCTCATTTTATTGTAGTATTTCTGTGTGGAGGCATGGGAGATCATATCGAGAAGTATATGGCCACTCATGAGCTTGCCCCCCCCTGTCAGAAAACAGGGGTGTTTAGCTGCCTCCTTTGTTCCCACATCCATCATCATGAGCCACAGATATTTTATTTATCACCTTTATGCGACTGATAAAATAAAGAAAAGAATATTAACATACATGTTAATTTTGATTCATATGTTTTTTTCTGACTGTATGTGAACGAAAAGACACAAATTCACCCGTTTTCTCATTGAAAATAGGTACATTTCAAAATATCACTGTCCTGGTCACAAAAGCAAAGTTTGTGGGGAATAATAGCCAATTTCTGTACTTTTGAGGCATAAGCAATTACTACCCAAGAAGAAAAACACAAAAAAAATAATTACCACAATCTGCATTTACCACCATTCGAACCACTGTGAGATCATCATCATCATCCGACAATATTTTACTTCTTTGTTATCATCGCCACCATCTTTTCCATTTACATCATCTTATCATTCTTATTAACGTTAAAACTATCATCGATATCACCCTCATCATCACTATTATTTCCATCACCATCTTCAACATCATCATCATCTTGTCCTCACATGACTGTAAATAACACGAATCTGTTATTTCGGTGAGTGATTGGAGTGGTGGGTGGAGCCACAGATGGCTTTACATTCTCCTGAGCACTCCCCTGGCTGCTGATAAACTGTGAGACTTTTGCAGAATGGGGCTCCACCTATTCAACATGGCAAACTGTGCCAAAACCCATACGTGAATTAGGCAGAACGAAGTTCGCAGGAATTTCCGCACAACATGAATTCTGCAAATGTGCGTAAATCAATTTCTACACGGATCAGGGCAATGTTTTTTTGTCAATATATCAATCTAACCCTTCATCGTCAAATAAACTCATGTTCTCAGGTTTGTAAAATAATAGTATACCAATTAAATATTTATTAACTTCTCGCCCTCGATGACACCCCTTCATCCTGTTTTCATTATCTGCTAATTAACAGATGTGTTCGAAAAATCAATGCTATCTCATTATCATACACATGAAGAGGAATGGTAGATGTCAAAGAGGCGTGTTCAAGGGCTGCACTTGAGAAATGACAGCACTGATTATGGTGATGGGGAATTTCAGGTCATGTCGGTAAGACAGTTCAAAACTTTTGAAATTAGCATGAAATACTTGACCAAGTTGCAAGTGAATGGTTTAGAATGGTAACACCTGCAAAGATCTAGGATGATGGAAGAGACAAATAATTAAATGCTAAAACCATTGAAATAAATACCTGGCTGGCATAACCCTCGGTACAAAAGGGATATGAATGGATATGTTTTCTGGGTGTATATCACCCTGTTTGCTTGCCTGCCTCCCTAATCATTACCGAACACACACCAAGGTCTAGGACCAGGGTTTTTGTCTATTGAGGGAAGTGATATCTACCTTCATTTCCATAGAACACCAGGCAGTTCAAGTTTAGAACACACTCTGATTTGACATCTCAGGGTATTTAGGTTTCATTGCTTATAGCCACTAAGTTAAAGACTACGATTACATCTACTGAGGAAATAAAAATAAGTCCACACTGTATTAACTTCAACTAACACTATTAAACAACAGTCCTGTCACATACTTGCACAATACAAATGCCAGAAAGAGCCCTGTTCCAATACACATCACAAATTGACTCACAAATGGTATGACGCTGCAATGTCTTTATAGCACCCAGCAAGGATTCGTTATTTGAACGGTATAAATAGGTGTTTGTGTCCATATTGTTACTGTCAATTATATGTTTATTAACATTCACCAACTGGTAAAGTACACATTTCATTATGGTTTTTGAATGTTGAGGAACTTAGTCCTTGACCAAAATATGTATTGCCCACCTTACACAGGTGTGGTGTGCCTATACAATTAGCCAAGCAAACAATGCGGCTCTTTCAAAATGCGGCTTTTTTAAAAAATGCAACATAGACTGATAACATTCTTTTGGGACCTTCAGAAGCAGAAAATGCCATCACCTGCCTCTTACTGCTTTGCTGTACGCTCGCAATGTTTACCATAATGTGTCTGAGAATCTGTGCTTGGTTTATATTCCTATCCTAATTTGCAGTTGTTCTCCTGCCTGATTAAAACGACGGTCTTGCTTGCAGCTGCCAAGCTGTGCACTTTCGTTGATTCTTTGTGAAATGTGTGCATATTTGAAAAAGAAAAAAAAAGGAACAGGGTTCCTCTCTCTACGTGCTATGTGCGCGCGCGCCGGCTTGTGCGCGCAGGGGACAATGCCACCCGCTGGGCAGCCTCTCTCACTTCTTGTGCGCGGGCGCCTTGACGCTGCTGGGCGGCGCCTTGACGCTGCTGGGCGGCGCCTTGACGCTGCTGGGCGGCGCCTTCGCGCTGCTGGGCGGTGACTTGGCGCTGCCGGGCGGCGACTTGGCGCTGCCGGGCGGCGACTTGGCGCTGCTGGGCGGCGCCTGGACGCTACCGGGTGCCGCTTTGACGCTGGGTGGCGGCTGGTCATGATTGTAAACGCTGACAGTGAAATGGCAGCTCTCGGAGCCGTACTTGTTCTTCACGAAGATGGTGTATTTCCCCGAGTCAATCATGGCGATGTTCCGCACGATTATGGAGGCGTATTGACCGCTCTCCAGCGTGACGGACAGATGGTCGTCGATTGGCAGCTCCCGGTCGTTCTTTAGCCACGACACCTCGGGCGTTGGGTCTCCAGCAACGTTGCACGTTAGGTTCAGCGTCTATGCAACAGCAGCACACAATTGGGGTTCAATGCGGCAGCAGGTTCTATATTAATTTAGTTTTCAATCATGCTATAGGTAGGTGTCTGACAGTATAGCTTATTCCATTATCAAAATCTCGCGTTGACAACATCTGGCAGGCAATAGAAATGAGACACCAAAGGACCAATCTCATTATCTCACCCAAAGGACTTTTCCAAACTACTTTACAGAAGGTGCCTTTGATTTGTTTAGGAAGGCGTGTAACCTTATACAAGTAAATTCAGTGCCGGTTCGGCGCACGGGAAGGGTTCAAGAAAACATCGCAGCTGTCAGTAATGCGCACAATAACTGCAAGTATTTTTTTTACCCTAATACAATGTGATTCTCTAATATGTGCAACTGGATAACAGCTGAAATGCAAGATTTTTATGTTCCAACTCAAATGGAATACCACTGTGCTTTGTCTGCATGAATGCTATAAGTGTGTTTAAAATGAGCACACAATGTGAACTCAAAAGTAAAAATGACAAACCTTTCCTTCCATGATTGTAACGACATCTGGCAAACCTCCAACCACCCTGGCACGATCTGCATATACAAAGGTAACAATTAAGACAAAGTGCAATTATGAAATAATCATAGCAGCAGTAAAAACACTACAGGTACTCCTCTACTTACGAACATTCGACTTACGAACTTTCAGAGACAGGGACAAATCTGTCTGAATGTCCAGTTGCCTGTTCGGACCGAGAAGCGTAAGTTCAACCACCGCGTAATAGATGGCGGTGGTGGCATCTACATCTGCAGAACATGAAGAGCCAGTGGCATCTACATCTACAGGACATTATACAACGTTTAAAGCAGACCTCTGGAACCTAACTCGTTCGTAAGTAGCGGAGTCCCTGTAGTCATGTAAGTGCCTATAAGGCCAGCACAGTCCAGACGTTTTGCCCATCCCCTATACAGAATGTTGAAGTACACACTACACTAGCCTCATATTTATGGCTGAGTAGACATGTGAGATGCCCAGGCCAGACTTATATACCAATTATTACCACTTGTGTTGTGCATAGCCAGGAATTGAACTCGAGTTACTGAGGGTGTAGTGCAGCGTGCTAATCATTATGCACATATATAAATCCGCTAAAACATATGACAGTATATACTTACACTGGGTCTGATTAAGTGTCACGGAGGCCCAGGGATGTTATAGTTATGGGGCCCCACTTTGTCTATTAAATTTCTTCCCTCTACCGTTTTACCCCCATCCATACCCGAAGCCAAAAACTCCGTTATTATTTACTTCGATTATTTCAGTTTTAAGTTTGAAATGTGATATATACGAATTGTTAAACTAAATCGAAGTTTCGACTTAAAGCTTTCGTGACTGCAGGAATTCATATCCTTTGGGTCTTTCAGTAAAGTCACGTGGATAGGTTCAAAGAAAATAATAAAAACTACGACGTCTCGATCGCAACACAAGCGGTCATCATCCTGATGAAAGACCCAAAGAATATAAATCGAAGTCAAAACTAGTTTAATATCGGTATATAGCTGTTAGAAATAAACATGATGCTATGGAATTAAATACCATATTACATTTTGGATTCGTCATAGTGCTGCAGTATTTCCTTTTAACCATTGTAAAGCTGCGTATAAATATACATTTTGGGGGGGACCTCAACATCTGAGGCTGCAGTGCGTAATGCCCCTGCATTAATTTGGGCTTGCACACACAGACAGGCAAACGTGTGTGTGTGTGAATGGGCAGTTGTTGTAACGTGCTAATCTTACGTGTCTCTGCGAAGGCAGCCTCCCTAGAAAGATCAACACATGAGACATTTATTCGTGTATACATTTAAACATATGTCAAGCGTGTATTGCATACAGGAAAGAAACAGATAGGATTCCAATGCCAACATTGGGTGAGTATGTTAGTTGGAAAATGATGTTTCTAGTTTTTATGGTGACTTGTTTTACTTAATATCGTAACGAGTCTATTTTAATATAGCATTCAATGCATGCATAAACAAACACGCAGTGCCCGTTTTGGGCCTCGGATATACATACTTGAGTGCTTGATATAAACGCATGACTTCATCAAATACTGAAAGAGAATTAAACAAGGCAAACGTTAATGTGAATCTTAGAAAATGTTATTTTCCAAATGCTCTCCCTTACCTCTTTGTTTATGCCTTAAATAATTGCCCTGGGTATACTCTCATGTTTTCGAACTGTGTTACTGCAGCAATTATTTCCTTTCGCTCAGAAAACTTCTTGTAAATGACCTTTGTTTTGCCCATTATTTATCTTTAGCCTTCTTTAAGTTTCGTAGCTCTATTCTATTGGATTTTAAAAATTACGTGTTGTTAATAAGCATGAAATAATTCTTGACTTAAAGCTTTCGTTACTGAAGGAATTCATACTCTTTGGGTCTTTCGGTAAAGTCACGTAGATAGGTTCAAATTAATACAAATAAATATAAAATAAACAAAAGACTACAACGTTCCGATCACAACACAAGCGATCGAACGAGGGGGAAAGCTGCTGACTACAGACGAGCAGTCTGACTGCAGATGACGATCGCTTGTGTGGTGATCGAAATGTCGTAGTCTTTTGTTTATTTGTTATTTATTTTTATTAATTTGAACCTATCTACGTGACTTTACCGAAAGGCCCAAAAGAATATGAGCATTACATAGTGATGATTTCTTCCAATTACGTTTTTGTGTTTTTCAATCTACGATTACAATAGTTTGATGACATCTTGCTTTTCAAAACCCTGTACCCCACATACACAGGCAAACATTCATAACTTTATTTGCCCCATCATGCTGCAGGAGAGGCAACACATTCCACTTAATAAGCACAGGTGGATTGAGTAACTGGAATGCAATAGCAGAATCTTCATCAGAACTTTCTCCCCCGGATTGTTATAAGAATCTTCTGAGGATAAATCGCCGGGTGGGTGTCCAGCACTGGCAAGGAGACACGCGTTTGCCTTCGGAACAATTAAGCCACCTGCATGTGTCAAATGAAACTGGAACAATGAAGAACATATGCATAGGCGTGGATTCTGTTATGCTTTCCAAAATGCATTTGTCCTCAAATGGTATTTAATGAGCAAATAATAACTTTGCGTTCCAAACTATAGAACAAGATGACGTCACATGGTGTATGACGTGTGACACCGCAAGATAATCTCAATCGTAATGATGTCATGGGAAGGTGACCCTCGTCCATTCAGCACTTGTTTTTTTATCGCTATGTTTTTGGCAACCCTTTGATCAGCTTGTCTGCTTTTCTGCAGAGTAAGTCCCTAAGGGGGAACACAACTTCAAAACTTAATTTATATTGAAGCATCTTCACAGCAGTTACCATAAAGGCCTAAAGCATCAATGCTCTACATTTTTTTGTTGTAAAACCTTAAAAGTGAAGGAAAGATGGATCACCTACTGAAAAAAACTGGCGCAGAGCACGAGCAACCAACGAGTATACGTTCGTACTGCACACTCAAGGGTCACCTTTCGTGAAAGCCACAAATAAGCGGTACCTTCATATTCTTAGCTCTTTCGGTAAAGTCACGTTGAAGGGAAACAATAAAATAATAAAATATATATAAAACAATAAAAAAAATTCTCACGACGTTTCGACCATAACACAAACGGTCGTCATCAGGTGTGTCGGTTTGCATAAATTTATTTATTTTTAAACGGTGTATTTATTTATTTATAAAAAAACGTCAGCGCCACGCACAGCGATTTGGCAGTTTATTTAGAAGGACTAGTCCATCTATGTTCTGAAAAGAGGAGGGGGGAGACGAAAAATTAATGTATGCCGTCTGAAAGCCACTGTAAGCGTGAACAATCAATTAAGACCTGAAATGGTTTATCAAATCTTTCCAATGATTGCTAAGCCAGAATCCATCTTCTCGGTTGAAATTGTCTCTGTGCTTGTATATGTTTAAAAATAAATAAATTTATGCAAACCGACACACCTGATGACGACCGTTTGTGTTATGGTCGAAGCGTCGTGATAATTTTTTTTATTGTTTTTTATATATATTTAATTATTTTAATGTTTCCCTTCAACGTGACTTTACCGAAAGAGCTAAGAATATGAATTACTGCAGTCACGAAAGCTTTAAATCAAAATTTAAGCGGTACCTTCTCCAGAGAAGTCCACAGCAAACTTGTGGGCCTCCTTTCCATCGTGTAGCTCCAACACGTACTTTCCTTTGTCCTTCTCCGTCGGTGCGATCAAATGCATCCACAACATTTCTCCGCTCACGCCAATGATGGTCTTCTCTGTTGAAGACAGCTTCGTTTCCCTGCAAGTCATAGCATGTGCGGGGGGGCTCTTGAGACATTGATGATGATCGCAATGCATCGCAGTGTACATTAAGAGGCCAGTGTCCTTCTTTATTTAATTTTACGTTACGGTATTCCCAAATTTTTACGCAAATTCGTATGATAAACTTCAGTCTTGATTTGAAGCTTTCGCGACTGCAGGAATCCATACTCTTTGGTTCTTTCGGTAAAGTCACGTAGGTATCAAATCAAATAAATCACGACGTTTCGGGCGCAACACAAGCGTCCATCATCAGGTGGGAAAGCTTTCCCACCTGATGATGGACGCGATTTATTTGATTTGATACCTACGTGACTTTACCAAAAGAACCAAAGAGTATAAACTTCAGTGTCAAATTGCTACATTAACAGCGTTTACAAATCAATAACTTTGCCTTAATGGCTAGGTTCTGGTAAGGTCACGTTGCCTTCAGAATGACTAACAACACTCTTACCTACATTGAATGAAACGATAGAATATGTGTGTTCTTTCAGTCATACCATGAATAACCATTCACAAAAAAACATTAATACAGCTTAGTGATGTCACAGCAAACATGGTAAGTTGAAATGTAAAAAAATCAATCCTGCATTTGGGATTTTTTTTTTAGCAAAGGAAGATGTTTTAAAAATGTAATGCATTGTCATTATATTGATCTGGAAGGCCATGGCATCTAGCGTCGTCCCAAACCACCTGCCACCACTGGCAGCGGCTTCAACAAGAGGTTGTGTAAATTTGCTCCGTAAATTTCGATAGGTTGTCATCAATTGCCAGGAAGAGGGGTGAGGAGGAGGGGGGAATGCATATCGTAGAGCAGTGGTGGTATTTAAGGTGGAGAGAAATGGTCTGGGGAACTGTTGCAGATACTACCATTGAGATTTGTTTAAATTTTGCTCTTGGCACACGATGGTCCGCGAAAAAATATCGTTGGTTTCGTGGTCTCGCAGGTCCAGAAAGGTTGGGAACCACCACGGCTGAGGATAGACGGGGTGCCCTGTGGGTCGCTGACAGTGATAGGAAGAAATTGTCTCTTTACAGCAAGTGTGCTGATGATCATTTATCAATACATGAAATGATAACTTTCTTATTTGTGGTTGCGTTTTTTACTTTTGGTACCAGGTGACTTTGAGGTCCTCGCAGTAATACACCACGGATGAATGAATCTTCACGCCCTGGGCCGTGGCTTCAAACTGCAGCGGTGTGGCCGAGAGCGCTGGCCAGACACGCACGCCACGCAGAGTCACACCACAAAGAGTAGCACACCATAAAGAGTCACACCACAAAGAGTAGCACACCATAAAGAGTCACACCACAAAGAGTAGCACACCATAAAGAGTCACGCCACAAAGAGTAGCACACCATAAAGAGTCACACCACAAAGAGTAGCACACCATAAAGAGTCACACCACAAAGAGTAGCACACCATAAAGAGTCACACCACAAAGAGTAGCACACCATAAAGAGTCACGCCACAAAGAGTAGCACACCATAAAGAGTCACACCACACGGAGTCACACACCACAAAGAGTCGCACACCACGCAGAGTCACACACCATAAAGAGTCACGCCACAAAGAGTTGCACACCACAAAGAGTAGCACACCATAAAGAGTCACACGCCATGCAGAGTCACACACCACAAAGAGTCACACCATGCAGAGTCGCACACCACAAAGAGTAGCACACCATAAAGAGTCACACCACGCAGAGTCACACACCACGCGGAGTCACACACCATAAAGAGTCACACCATAAAGAGTCACACCATAAAGAGTCACACACCATAAAGAGTCACGCCACAAAGAGTAGCACACCATAAAGAGTCACGCCACAAAGAGTAGCACACCATAAAGAGTCACACCACGCGGAGTCACACACCACAAAGAGTCGCACACCACGCGGAGTCGCACACCACGCGGAATCACACGCCACGCAGAGTCGCACACCACAAAGAGTAGCACACCATAAAGAGTCACGCCACAAAGAGTCACACACCACGCAGAGTCACACACCACGCAGAGTCACACACCACAAAGAGTAACACCACGCAGAGTCGCAGTGAGTAAAACCAACTCCTTACAGTCCTCGTTGATATGCAATAAAAACTACTAAGATCTCACCAAGTCATATTGCAATGCATACAGATAGAGGAAGGACTAAATACATTTTCTTTGGTTCTTTTGGTAAAGTCACGTAGAATGAGAATAAAATAAGAAATTGATAAAATAAAATAACACAATAATATTCTCACGACGTTTCGGCCATAACACTCCAGCGCTGTCCTACCAGACAGTCTCGTCCCTGCACCTGATGAAGGCTGCTTGTGTTGTGGCCGAAACGTCGTGAGAATATTATTGTGTTATTTTATTTTATCAATTTCTTATTTTATTCTCATTCTACGTGACTTTACCGAAAGAACCAAAGAAGATGAATCCTTGCAGTCACGAAAGCTTTAAATCGAAATTTAAAGACTAAATACATTATTTTTCAAATCGAATAAACTATTGTTTTTTTCTCTTCACAATTATATAAGCACAGCACCATGTAGAATCACAGAACGGATCTTAACAGACACCACAGTATGTACGATTTTTAGTACTGCGACTTAAATTTTGCAAATAAGTCTTTGTTTCCTCAGACTAAACAGCACGCCTTCACATCTTTCAAAGCATGAATCACTTATTATCAATAATCTGATGAATATACCTAAATTATAGCCTTCATCACGATATGAAAATGCATTAAGTGACAACCAAATGCACATGTCTGTTTTGTACAGTCATTAGTGACAGGGAAAAACCATAAATTCCCCACGTTTGACAAAATGATTTAGTGTTGAGTGGTTGACCGGAATTCGAACCCATGAGCTCATTGTGTTGGCTCAGTATTCCTACACAAGTATTGGTCCCCAGAGTCAGCCAAGTGTCCTCGTGTGGTTGTCACACCAGATTTATGCAAATCACAAAGGTTAACTATGTTAAGACTGCAATTTTGACATCCAATGCATATAGCTCATGTGTGTGTATTGCACATACTTTTTTTACCGAGATACCTTATTAATAAAACAAATTAAATCAATATTACAAATTAGATTATATGAATAAAAATTCCATGGGTGTAAAGTTGTGTGTACTTACCACTCATCTTGCACATCTGGCACATCAGGTCTTCAAGTTCTAAATGTGTAGCGAGTGGGAGTGGAGCATAAATGCAGTGCAATTGTTATATTAGACAAAGGAATGTTGCTAGCAAACGCAAGTGTGTTCACTGTGTGTGATTTTACAAGTGGCGTTTTAATGGGGCATACATGAGTGTAGTGTGCATATCAACCAACTGCATGGCAAGTGTGAGTGTAAATTAAGAGCATGCGAGTGTAAAAAATATGGTAAATTATTCTTACCTTTACCAGCAATATCCAAAACACTTGCATCAGTCCCTCTCTCATCTTTCACCTCCACCTTATATAACCCCATGTCCTTTTTGGTACACTTTATGAAGAGGACAGAATGGAGAATTGTTATACTACACAAACTTAGTACAGAGGATAATGCAATTCCCCAAAAGTATACTATTTTACATCACGAAAATAGTAACTTTGCAAAATATGCCCTTAGAAATAATGATGACATACAAATAAAATAAATAATCTAGCAATCCAAAATAAAATTGAAGCTTCTGTGAATGGGACACAGTCTTTGGGAATTAAAGTCTACATTTAATAAATTTGTTGTGTTATTCACAATTGGTGCTTGGACATTTCGAAATTAATGTATGGAGGAAGTGAATTTTGAACAAGCATAGTTTTTATACGCATACCGACCACCAGATGGTAGTCTTAAGCTATATTAAGCTATGATATTAGTGACCTATGAAAATAACCTCAAATATTGTAAAAAAAAAAAGAGTGCAAGTACACTCACCGATAGTGCATTTTACTTGAAAGCGATGCATACCTTCATCTGCACTCACAGGTTGTAATTTAAGACTCACGTAACGTCTAGTGAGCCGCGGATCAACACTAACCTCTTGGATGAGCAGTGAGCCGTGCCCGTCTTTGAATTCGGTGTGAGCACCGGCTAGAATACTGCTGTCCTTGAACCACAAAACAGTCGTCTCCTTCTTGAAGTTGGCAATCTATACAGACGCACGCAGGGCCACGATGAATACACGAGAATACACACTGACAACAAACACTCCCTTCCCAGCAGCATGTTATTAATTGGTAAGGTCGTAGTGCTGCCCTGCAATATTTCCCCTCAAGCCACTGCAAATCGAAGGGCCTTCCCCCACGGGGATTGGGCCTACTCTTCCATTCTGGTCAGATGTCTTGTCAGATGGGGGAGTACAGTGACGTACACACCCACCTGTCAATCGACTGTGGTGTAGCTGGATGTAGGATTAGGTCCTTCACGTATATATGTACAGCGTTATCGGATGCAATTAGCATGAACGACTCGATATACAAGGAAATTATTATTATTACTACCCTTTTACACTATGGGATGGGCAGAGGGGGTGGGGGTTAAGAAAGTTGCCTGAATGCTAATCAAATATAAGCGGCAACCTCTAAATTGCCAATCCAGTGTGCTAACCGTTACTCCGTGGCTGTGTTCTAATTCCAAAGGCATTGGCGAATATTTATGTTGTGGTGGCGCAGTAGTTAGCGCACTGTGCTAAGTCATATTGCCAGTGATGTATAATATCAGTGGTGATATCTAAAACATTCTTGTGATCTAACTCCCCCCACTAACAAAAAACCAAAAGACATTTTTGTCATGGAATGTGCAGACCTTTACCCAGCAGAGGAGTGGTAATGGCTGAGAAGCAGTATTTGCTTTATTTACATCCTTTAGTGACAATCAGATTAATTTAAGAAATTTCACATCAGTTAAAAACATATGCAGTTTCACTGATTGCACACAAAGTTCAAAGATAATGGCTGATGTATCATAGCCTTATGTAGTAGTGTGAGTTTACAACCATTTGTGTAATCACTTTCTGCAGTATAACGCTAATTCCAATGTAATATTAAAAAGCAGTGCCTTTTTAATGACATATCACATAGGTATTACTTTATATCCAGGTCACTTACTTGGAAATTTAAATGTACTTGGCAATCTTTGCTCACGTTCCAGCTCAGATATTCAATAAAGTGAGGACCTGTGGTGATGGGAAGATATTTACACATGTACGTATTCGCTTCACGATTGTACAACTTTAGTTTGACTCCAAGTGTTCTGTGTGGTCTCCAAATATAATGAACAAATTGTTAACATCTCGCGACCTCACCTTGCTTTCTCAGCCACTCCTTCCTCTGCGATTCAGCCGCTTCCAGCAATTTCTTGAAAACTGTGATGATTAAAGGTACACGCATCTTTAGTCTGCATTAACATTTCAATTACCAAGTTCACAGCAAAATTATGAACGAGAGTTTAATTAAAAATACATGTTTTTAGATAATTACAAAATGGTAAAGGTGCTTAAACTTGATACTGAAAGATACCTAAATGTGTGTTATTCTGCTATTGTATGCATGGTATGTGTACACATTCGTCAATAAATATTGATTATATGATGCAACGATCAAATTAGCAAGCGTTACAATCTTTTTTTTAATCTTCTTTGGTTCTTTCGGCAAGGTCACGTAGAATGAGAATAAAATAATAAAATAGCACAATAAAATTCTCACGACGTTTCGGCCACAACGCAAGCGGCCGTCTTCAGGTGAAAGGTACAGACCGGCCGTCTTCAGGTGAAAGGTACAGACTCGACAGGTCTGTACCTTTCACCTGAAGACGGCCGCTTGCGTTGTGGCCGAAACGTCGTGAGAATTTTATTGTGTTATTTTATTATTTTATTCTCATTCTACGTGACCTTGCCGAAAGAACCAAAGAAGATGAATCCCTGCAGTCACGAAAGCTTTAAATCGAAACTTTTTTTATGTTATAACTTGTATGTAATGAGTTTATGTGACCGCCTGCAGCCACTAGTGTCCGCGATACATTCTCCACAAGGATTAACAAAAATAGTCTTCAATCGAATCATGTTCTTGAATCGTGACTAGCCATCAAATCACCAGTGAGTTTAATAATTTCACCTCTTGTAGTCATCCGTGTTGGTGGAATAATAATAACAGAGCTTACGATCTATATTTTTTGTACAATTTCCTCAGCATGCTAAGCAGCAAAGTGCACAGTGTTGCACATGTTGTTATACAATTGCTTGTAAGAAGTTTCCTCGGAGTGATTTTTCAATGTAACCATCATTTACTTGCCGTTGCAGTGTTTATATTCAATGGTTCTCAATGCATTAGAGAAGTGATAAAACCGATTGATGCGCTTGTGAAAATTCCACAGCTCTTTAAGTGCAATACATATGATCAATTCAGATTGTAATGACTTTGGAAAAGTATTAATTGTACATTGTGCTTGCAATTGTGCATTTACAATTGAGACCAATGTAGTCAATATCTTTTGAGCAATGGGGTTGAAACGGCATTTTGCCTTGAGGCTCATATTTGTATTTTAAAAGTTTCCCCAGTCTGTAATTAGCTCGGATAAATAATGACAATGTTAAACATGCATAATAATTATTGACTCTAGACACATACATTTACTACCATGATATGAATATAAATGACAAGCCATGCAAGTCAAAAAGTTATCCCTACAGAATGCAGACCTGCCAATCAGTACACGTGGGAGCATTTAAAACATTCTGAAGGTGAGATATCAAAATGCACATATATAATGTTAGGTTTAAAGGATACATGTAAAACTTGTGATATTTTCTTCTTCGACTTTGTGATCAGCGTTTGCACATTCCTGCGCTGGGTAATGAGATGAAAGATGTTTTTTTCCCGACAAACTCCTGCAAGTTATGAATTCTCCCAGCCTTGACACAGATCCTTCCACTTATACACCAACTACCTTTCAAACGCCTATTCTATCCATCAGGCTGGCAAGTAATTTTACCAATTAATTCGTTAATGTTCTTCAGAGCTGAGGATTCGAATGTCGATATTACAGTTCGGTGCCGCTGCATGTAGTACTCGATTTACGAACGGGTCTCAGGAACAGAATTCGTTCGTAAGTCGATGATTGTCTGTATTGTCTGCCTGAGTAATAATACTGCGTATGTTTATTGCGGTTGTGGTGCTCTCTAACATATGTTTAGCTTGTACCGCTACAATCTGTTCAACACGATGTCCGAGGTTTCGCTCCACGTGCTGAGAGCTTCAGAAGAATTAAGTTTAGTTCCCGAAGATGCTCCCATCACATGGAGCAAGAACGTGGGACATATCATGCATGTAAGCTGAACTTCTTTTGCACCTGACAGAGGTACGGGTGAAGGACAACAAACTAAACCTAAAAAAGCAGTTCTGAAGAAATGTGTTGGAAAATCCAGATTTTAAAGTTCAATAGCTCCAGTGGCTTCCTAATACTGGAAGGAAGAGCATTCCGGAAGGCCGCAGAAGTGCATTTGAAAGCGCGTGATGCAGTGACCGTCTTTCTTTGATGGTTACCCAAAAGCCGCTGCGAGGATGACACATCGAAGCTCTACATCCGCCTGAGTGTACTTAGGGCTTTATGGAGGAGCCCTCAGTGTGAAACATTCTCCAGTTGCTGCCTGGCTGTTTTTCCTTTTATTGCTTGAAGTGCTCAAATGATTGCAACTAACAACTGTGCAATAATGTGAACATAATAATAGTAGTTGTAAAATAACAGTGATGTCAAATTATTGTCGAAGGAAAATATGCACAGTTTAAACTGACACGCACCGGCTAATTTTATCCAAAAGTGTAAACGTAATGCAAGTCAGATGGCTACTTTCGTACACGTTTCATTTGTATGTAAGTGTCCAAAGGTTGTGCCAAGGGACTCGCTCTCACCGTCTCCGATGAGAACGAGGCTGGATTGTTTTGCCGCCTTCCCATCCTTGAGCTGGACAGTGTAAGTGCCCTCATCCACAGCTGAAAGATGATCTATAATCATCTCGATCATGCCCGTGCTGCGGTCCACATGAATCTTGTACTTCTACACACACCACATGTTAAGCACTTTCGATTAGCACGATTGGCTACGTACAGCGCCAAAGAAGTTCAACATACTTACAAGCAGGCCCGCAGAGGCACAGGATCTTTAATATTTGCGAGGCTTTTGAAGTATATTGAGTGGCTAATAAGATGTTAAGATGTGAAAAAGTATGAAAATCTTCTTTCGAATGCAATTAATCTCCATGTTTACTTGAATACATTTACAAATTCAATTAGCTGTACTTCTCAAGTGTGCACTCACTAGAAAATCACTTTTTTAAAGTCACAACTTTGTTACCTTTGCATTGTTTTAGTTTATCAAGTTACATCAAACAATTTTTTGTTATAATACTCAGTAAGGCCCACTGAGCTAAATAATGTTTTTTTCAGAAGTGACCTGGCCAGAAATGATAGTTCAACGAAGTGGTTTATCATGTGGAAATTTATAGCAGCAAAATATTCTAAAATCATGTTTCTAAATGTGGAGGGAACAAATTGAGGACCTGGAGAAAAATCCATGGGACCACGGGGAGAGAGGCATGCAAACTACAAATATACAGGCGTCAGAGTCGGGATTGAACCCACGCATCCTGCATATCAGGCCAGGTAGTTAACATCTCGCCACCGTGGCACCCTATCAAATTTAATTTATTGTGCATCTTTTGTCTTAATCCTGTATTTGTAATGCCAAGTTGTTTTCTTTGGAAGTCCATGGGTGAACATTTGTGGATAAATGGTTAAGTTTTGTTGGTCTTAGATATACCCACCATCCACAAATATTAATTTAATGTTTAATCTAGAAAGTTGCGAGTAATGTTTGATTACTATTGATATTTTGGTGAGATAACATTTGTACTTTGTAAGTATCAATGGCAGTGGGTTACTTTTGCTCCGGGTTTTTGAGCAACGTACATCCTGTATCTTTGAAATAAGCGAGACTGACAATTTCATAAGAGACGTCATATCCCTTGATCTATTCCACATTGCAACACCGCATATCCAGCATAATAGCAGTATAACTATTTATGCATTATTCGTTGCCCAATAGCATATTCAAATATGCCACAGATTGCTTTTTTATTAGATAATTGATAACCAGACTGTTTGAACGTTCATAAGTAATGTATTAATCACGAGGGTTGTAAATATCCCTTTCAAGAACTGTTAACGAAAAGCCGGATGTGTAGGTAACCCTCACGCATTTGTAATAATATATTTTGGAAAATGATTCATTATTTTATTATTACATTTAAAACCTCCTTTTAGCATATTATTTATTTCACTTTCTGCCCATACAGTGATGTTGACATTTATTCACGTTAATAATTTTAACAGGGATATTCATGTTGTCATCACCATGTGCGGTGAAGAAGGGCCATTGCTGGAATGTCACCGACAATATTTTTCTCCTCTTAAGGCCACACACAGTGTTATTGGCAAATGTTTTTTTGTCATTAAAGTATACATGTTATTGGACAGCATTAAAAGACACAAGGGATACAGGGACAGACATATAAAGACTGAGAAAGACAACAACAACAACAAAATACATTTCGATTTAAAGCTTTCGTGACTGCAATGATTCATCTTCTTTGGTTCTTTCGGTAAAGTCACGTAGAATGAGAATAAAATAATAAATTGATAAAATAAAATAACACAATAATATTCTCAGAGAATATAATAATAATATTCTCAGAGAATATTATTGTGTTATTTTATTTTATCAATTTATTATTTTATTCTCATTCTACGTGACTTTACCGAAAGAACCAAAGAAAACAAAATACATATTAGAGGAATACAATATATTATCCTTGCACCGGTTAAAGTGCACTCTTTATTGTCAGAAAATATATGGAGATGAGAATGAACGTCCATCGACTCATAGCGTGATGGACGGGATGTTATTGTCAATGCTTGGGTTTGCATTACCTCGTTTTTGGAAACGTCCCTTTGATTGACGATGAATTTCAGCTCACACGTCGGTGACAGATGCCGTGCCTGCATCCACAACCGCACTTGCCCTTTCTCCAGTAGCTCCACAGCCAGCTCGGACCTCAGGGGTATGGCTGGTTGAATAGGGCACACTCTTACCACACTGTACACATATTTGGCTACATTTTCAAAGGTGAACAAGAGCATTAACTACGATTTAGAAACAATTTTTTATTTGACCAGGTAAGGCCCACTGAGCTTCATAGCTCTTTTTCAGAAGCGACCTGGCCACGAATAATAGTTGAATTAAGTGGCAATCATGTAGAAATGTATACCAGACGCATACTCTAAAAGCATGTTTATAAATGTGGAGGAATAAACCGGTGGAGCTGGAGAAAAATCCACGTGACCACAGGGAGAGAGACATGCAAACTCCAAATATACAGGCGTCAGGGTTGAAATCGGGATAAAACCCACTACCTCCAGGCCAAGAAGTTAACATCTCACCACCATGGCACCCTAAATGTATAATACTTCCCACATACCCCGAATTAAAGATCACATGTCATTATGGAAGGTAAGATTATGTTATTTTTTCACACTTCAGACTTTGTTGTGTGCCTCTAGTAATTAAATACAATATTTTAATTTTTACATAGTGTAATTAAATAAACAGCATTTCTCAATTGTTTCCAAAAAAACATATATTTGCCACCCTAAACTGGCCTGACCTGGATTTGAATATATTGCAGTACATCTGCATTTGTGCTGAACATTATAATCATTATATTATCCAAGACACTGCCTAACTGAGTATCCTAATGATAAACTTACCAAACACAACATAATGGCTATATATGTTTGAGAAACAAACGTAAATCAATCATACAGAAACATATGCGTTGCACGTGCAGTATTTCCAACCAAAATGATCTTAAATCAGATTTTCATTATGTTTATTTTTCAGGAAATAAATACTATATGGCAATGCAAAATAAAAAACGTTAAGCATTTTAGCCTTGTTGCAAAGTTGAGGTTTGAACTAAAAAAGGACAAACTGAAATCGGAAGATGGATTACCACAACATGCACCAGCATCCTAATGTTTTTGTTCAGATAAACAGCAAAGAGGTGCAGCTGTGTCCTTTCGTGACATGATAGCAAGGCTTCTTTCCTGCAAGTCATGACCCGATATGACCTGACCAACCAAAGGTGTGTTGTATTCTTAAGCCATGCTTGTCTAACGAACACATCTAGACTACTAATGATCCTCAGCCCCACAGGAAACTTTTGTAGTGCGAATATGTCTCAGAATTATTTACAGAATTACGTCGACAGCACACACATGGATGGATTCAGCACATACGATTGACTCCTGTAGATGGCAATATCAAAACATATTCGAAAACAACAGAACAACGTTGTCAAAGATTTAATTAATACGCTTTTGCAACCAATATTTTGATTGCTAATTGATTTCTGAGATACCTCAGGGATGCCAAATTTGTCCTAATCTGACCCAAAACATAATTACGAAGGTTGTCATTTTAAAATGACAATAACAAATGTCTAACGTCTGTATTACAAAATGTACATGTTATGCTCAAAGTTATATTACCTTTGCAATTGATAATTATATATATGCTGTAAAACTGAAAATATTGCTTACAAATGCACATTCAACAACAGATAAAGTTGTCCCAAACCATTAATATGTGAAGCAAGACAACAAAAACTAAACTTAACAATTCAACTTTCAGAATGTTAGAATATGTTTTACCCTTTCTGGCAACAAAACAGGTGTTAAGATGTTAAAACACCAAACTGAAACGTTTTGCAAGGAATCATGTCTGCATTAACCACGTAAACTATGTTTTTCTTTTACGAGGTAAGCCCCACTGATCTATGGACTGTAACTATTTTTCAGTAGCTACCTGCTGGGGAAAAAAAGAGCAAATGACAATAATATTTGTTTCACAGCCTATTAAAAAAGAGCTTTGCTATGTATTTATGTGCCACTGAGCAGGAGGATTGGCTGGGGTTCAGCAATTTAAACAACACAGAGTTTAATACGACTGTGAAACATTATCACTGCATACTCCAGTACAGTGAGTCCTCGCTTAATGCATTTTCACACAACGCGTTTTCGCCATTCTTTGATAAGGGAACACTTTTCACACAACGTGGAACGTGCAACGTTATCAAGTGCAGCTTCTGAGAGGTCGACAACGAACGACCTTCTTGAGCTGCCCGGCTGAGCGGGATGGAAATTCTGGGTATATACATACGCGGAATGATACAGGAAGCAGCGTACCCTCATCTCAGTTCGTTGTCCCGCCATGGGATAACAGTGCAAATGTGATTCACATTTCCATTGTTTTTATAACAGGTCCCTGCAGGGTGGGCTGGTAGGAACATTGGAATTTTGTGCAATTTTATTTTTACACCCCAACAGCACGAGATTTCACTTCGTTAAAGTATTGAAAGGGGACGGACGGACGGACACATTAATCTATTGCAGGCTGGTACACTCAGTTTACAACTTCGTTCCTACCAGTATAATTATGCCCTGTAATGTATACACGCACAGTAATTCCTTGGTTTGTGGCTCTTTTCAAGAAAGCATCTGCCACATTAAATGAAGTATTACGTAACAGTATTTGGACAATTTTGCAAGTCACTGATTAAGTTCCACTACCTTTGCCAATATTCAGTTTTATTTTAATGTGGATAGAAAGATTGAAGTTTGTTCATCATATACTGCATGTGCCTATGTATTTCAGTGTATTTTATGGATTGGTAGAGATCTATTTCATTTATGAAACCAACTTACTGGGATATTTCAGCTTTTGGCTTGTCTCCAGAGCGCGCTTTAGTTCTGCAAAAAAATATATAACAATGTTATACATCAATCAACTATCCATGGTTATCCTTTAGCATGATTATCCAATTATTCCTAATACATTATAATTTTTAATGCAGAAATTGTAATTGTATTCATTTGACATTTCACAACCATAATTATCACAATCATTCTAATTGTATATATCTAATCTAGGTAATCTAATTGAATGTTATCTGTATCTGCAAATAAATAACCATATAGGCATTCAATTGTAAGTAATGCTTTACTCTCCTTATGCACTGTTTGCACAAGTAAGCAATGTGTTGCATGCATTTCCCAAACCATTACGTGTTTATTTAGAATAATAAACATATGTTGATGTAGAAATGATGGGCCGATTCATAGAGCTATTTTGAGCGGCATTACACTAATTTTTCTACTAAAATAATGGCAGGTTGTGCATACATTTAGAAACACTCTTCAATTTGATATCAACGTGTGATGAATTCCAAACAAAACTGGAATCATGCTGGTACTATTCATGGCACAATTATGGAATGCCCCAAAGTGGGCAGAGTTTGGGGAGGAGTCGATCATTATGGAAAGTTTCTGCAAACATGCAGAATGGCCTCCTGTGATGTAACTCTGTAGAGGCTTAGAATGCATACATTGTTTGGAGGTAGTAGGTACGCAGTAACAACCCAATAATATTGTATTAATTTTAAGTAAGTGAATTTGATGGTTTAACCTTTGACAAAAACATCTGGATTGTGTCAGATCCTGTCAGACTCCGCAAGCTTGAATGGGTGACCACCGCACATGAAGCGGGTTCAGTAGGCGTTGTGGGCAGTAGAAGGCAGCTCTGTATCCGCCCTTAATCACCACCACACACTGACCAGTGTAGTAAGGTTTGGTAAAACTGAGCTGTAACACGTACACATGCAAAGACTCCGTACACACTCCTAACCTTTCCCCTTACCTTCCTCCGTGAGGTTGTAGCTTGTTGCGTAGCCGTCTGTCGCAGTGACCACGCAGGAGTAGTTCCCTAGGTCGTCCATTGTAGGGTTGTTGAAGAACAACTTTGTTCTAAAATATACCAAATATAACGTATGAGAATGATGATATCGTGTTTGCTCGAGTAGGATAATTCAAGTATGACATTTTCATTTTTTCTAAACTTAATTGTCTTGTGTAAATTTCTATGCTCCGAGAAACGTCTCTCTGTACATATTTCACTTTTTTCACTCTGTTGAATGTTCCATCTAATAGAATCAACAGCTGATGAAAGGACATTTTCTGCAATGCTGTGATAACATTTACCATGTACTGCGCTTATACCACACTGAATGCCGAGGATAGGATTTGTGAAGCATTTCCAAGACAAAGGCTCACGTTTGTCCGAGAGTTTCTGGAGTCACTTTGTTTTCTGGAAGCTCGTGGTAATTCTTGGACCAAGAGAAACTGGATGCTTCAGTCGCAGCCTCACAGGTATACTCCAGGTATATGTTGCCATCGTCATCAATCTGTAGCTGTGCATCCCTAGATCCTGCAACAACAATAAAGACACAACTAAAATTAAATATACGTGCATTCAAGTTATATTTTTTTGTATTGAAACCAGCCGGTATTTTTTGAAATAATAATAATGGAACAAAATAATAGTTTATAGGCTTTTTCTCAATCCACTGCTGGATGAAGGCATCACCAAATCATTGGATTGGCCATCAGGGCTGTTTCATCATACTTCACCATGCTGGTCATCGTAAGTTGGTAAAAGGGGGAAGGTGGGAAGAGGAGCGGGTCAGATATTACTCATCACTCACGTTAGCCGTGGCTGGGAATCAAACATGGGTTGCCGGGTTCACAGTGCATTGCGTGAACCATTTTCTATCACGTCATTTCATACAGCATCACTCTTTTATATGTTTGTAATAAAAATTGGAGCCACAAACAGGCAGCAACGCGAGAAGGACCAGAGCAGCAAACACGAGTTTGTAAAATTCCAGCAGCAGCTGTTCTGCTTGAGCATGTGGTTTGCACGGTGCACACCTCATGCTGTGAGTGTACATGAAAGCTGACTCATTTTCAAATGCTGACGATACTGCTTCAACCACCCCCCACCCACCCACCCACCGCCGAACACAGCGCTGGCATCGTCCGTGTATCTGTGTCAATCGGTATCAGACAATGAGCATCATCCAGTCAAAAGGTTCAATTTGTTACAGCTGAAATGCAAATAAGAAAACACTTGCAAAATATAGTATTTTGTATGTAAATGACAGCGAAATCTACGCCCTACCTTTGGAAATGGAATGATATAATTTGCATATGGTGTTTGTTCACCACATTAAAAAAAACTGTCCCTCCGGAAACAACCCAAGGTACTAATGAGTACATGCAGGATAGAAAAGAGGGTACTCTAATGGAGGCTTGCATTTGCTTTAAATTTGACATGCATTTGAGATGAAAGAGCCAACAACCATAATTTTATTCATGAATCTGGTACACAAATGGGGCTTATTATCTCGGAAGTTTTCAGAGTATTTATTTTAGTTCAATTCTACAGTGTCAATGTGGAAGTCGGTGATAGTTCTAGTTTCACGTATTTATACATAACGTTGCAGCTGGGCCATAAGTACACACGAATAACAATTAATTACAGTTGACCACAGAATGGACAATGTCCCTCATGGAAACATCATTACTACATACTTCCATGACATTTACATGCCAAAGAACATGACTGTTACTTTCTATTAAAATGGAATATGTACTGTATGGCCTCTTTGTGAATATCATTCCCTTTAACAATTACTTTATAAATGATCCAGGTACAAGACCGGCAGATTCAGACTTACGATTGCCCGACTTACAAACATCCGCACTTATGAATGAGCTTCAATAAGATTTTTTTTTAACTACGTGACTTGAGAACGTGAACTCGCACTTGTGAACCGAATCGCATAACTATTTACAATGTTACATGCAAATGTAAAACATGTATTATTATCTACGAGTTTAACAATGCTTCCCTTTTATGTTGAACCATGACACATTTTTACAAGTGACCGTATGTGCATTTAAATACAGTACATTATGTCTTTCTGACGAATGTGTTTCAAGAACGGAGCCCGTTCATACAGTAGGTCGGGGACTGCCTGTATTGGTGAAACAATCAGGTTCATGTTATGCAACACTTCTGCAATAGATTTTCATTAAATTTCTCATTGCCAACATTATACTTAGTAGTTTACCGCCCTGTGTAAATCCACTGCTGGATGAAGGCTTACCCCATGCCATATAATTTGTTTTAATCGTTTATGTCACTGCGGGTTGGTGTTATCTGTGGCCGAGAAATGAAATCAGGTCATCGGATTCAGAAGCACAGTGCAATAACCCCTGCACCACCATGCTTCCAAAGTTATGGAAATATATTAATGTATGGATTTGAATAACTCTTTTGCACATGTATTCCTTAACCAACATTTGCAGTAAAAATCAAGTCATCACACACATTGTTGTTAAGTCACAGTTTTGAAAGGTATTATGTTATAACTGCTGTGCTCTGCCAAATGTTGGGCAAAGCCCTGGTCATTCCTTCTCATTGGGAAGCAAACAGTCACTCTGGGGCTTATCTATCTGAGTTTTAGATTGGCATGGAGAGTCTGGTAGAGAATAATTCTTGTAGGAGAGTCGGCACTCAATGCATCATTGTGCTCGTCCTAAGTGGTTTATAAGGCCTGACCTTTGTGGTAATGTCTCCCTGGGAGTGTGATGGAGTAATGCACAGGGGTGAGGGATTAGGGTCAGTGGAAACTACCCCTCAGTGATGATTGTTGAATGCTACTGCGCTGGTAACACAAAACTTTACAGCATCCACATTACAGTAAGACTCTTCGCCAACTGAACCTTCTGCCTCAGAGTGAATTATGGCATAATGTACTATAATAGTACAATGTAAGAGGCATATTATCACAAAATAATACATTATTATGAAAAATACCATACTGCAGCAGAAATGTGTTTTAACCAATTAAAAGTCAGTGAGTATGATTGTTAATAACTATTTAAAATAAACTTTACTACTGGCCTTTAGGTGACACGAATTAATTTTAAATTAAAATGTGAAAAAAAATTGTGCAATAACTTTTTCAACACTTTTATAAAGGTTGCCTTCTGGTGGCAAACGTTTCTGTCCCACAATTAAACGTGAGATTTAACAGGTTCATAATGGAATCGTAAGTTTCCAATTGTAAAAGTAATGTCACATGTAATGTACGGGTATACAGTGAGGGAAAAAAGTATTTGATCCCCTGCTGATTTTGTACGTTTGCCCACTGACAAAGATATGATCAGTCTATAATTTTAATGGTAGGTTTATTTGAACAGTGAGAGACAGAATAACAACAAAATCCAGAAAAAAGCGTGTCAAAAATGTTATAGATTGATTTGCATTTGAATCAGGGAAATAAGTATTGACCCCCTCTCAATCAGAAAGATTTATGGCTCCCAAGTGTCTTTTATACAGGTAACTAGCTGAGATTAGGAGCACACTCTTAAAGGGAGTGCTCCTAATCTCAGCTTGTTACCTGTATAAAAGACACCTGTTCACAGAAGCAATCAATCAATCAGATTCCAAACTCTCCAACATGGCTAAGACCAAAAAGCTCTCCAAGGATGTCAGGGAAAAGATTGTAGACCTACACAAGGCTGCAAGGGGCTACAAGACCATTGCCAAGCAGCTTGGTGAGAAGGTGACAACAGTTGGTGCGATTATTCGCAAATAGAAGAAACACAAAAGAACTGTCAATCTCCTTCAGCCTGGGGCTCCATGCAAGATCTAACCTCGTGGAGTTGCAATGATCATGAGAACGGTGAGGAATCAGCCCAGAACTACACAGGAGGATCTTGTCAATGATCTCAAGGCAGCTGGGACCATAGCCACAAAGCGAACAATTGGTAACACACCACGCCGTGAAGGACTGAAATCCTGCAGCGCCCGCAAAGTCCCCTGCTCAAGAAAGCACATATACATGCCCGTCTGAAGTTTGCCAATGAACATCTGAATGATTCAGAGGACAACTGGGTGAAAGTGTAGTGGTCAGATGAGACCAAAATGGAGCTCTTTGGCATCAACTCAACTCGCCGTGTTTGGAGGAATGCTGCCTATGACCCCAAGAACAACATCCCCACCGTCAAACATGGAGGTGGAAACATAATGCTTTGGGGGTGTTTTTCTGCTAAGGGGACAGGACAACTTCACCGCATCAAAGGGACGATGGACGGGGCCATGTACTGTCAAATCTTGGGTGAGAACCTCCTTCCCTCAGCCAGGGCATTGAAAATGGGTCGTGGATGGGTATTCCAGCATGGCAATGACCCAAAACACACGGCCAAGGCAACAAAGGAGTGGCTCAAGAAGAAGCACATTAAGGTCCTGGAGTGGCCTAGCCAGTCTCCAAACCTTAATCCCATAGAAAATCTGTGGAGGGAGCTGAAGGTTCGAGTTGCCAAACGTCAGCCTCGAAACCTTAATGACTTGGAGAAGATCTGCAAAGAGGAGTGGGACAAAATCCCTCCTGAGATGTGTGCAAACCTGATGGCCAACTACAAGAAGCGTCTGACCTCTGTGATTGCCAACAAGGGTTTTGCCACCAAGTACTAAGTCATGTTTTGCAGAGGGGTCAAATACTTATTTCCCTCCTAAAAATGGAAATCATTTTCTAACATTTCTGACATGCGTTTTTCTGGATTTTTTTGTTGTTATTCTGTCTCTCACTGTTCAAATAAACCTACCATTAAAATTATAGACTGATCATTTCTTTGTCAGTGGGCAAACGTACAAAATCAGCAGGGGATCAAATACTTTTTTCCCTCACTGTACATGTAAATAACTAAATACAAATATTCAATTGAGTGATGCTCTGGAAGGAAATAAAAAACACAGAAAACCTGTAATCATTAGTTATTAATTATATATGTGTATATCTTATATTTGTGGATTTAGTGGAAAGAATGAGAATATTAACATAGTTCATATAATGTATAGTAGCCTCACCATAATTAAGTTTTACATTTATAGTTGATGTGAAATATGCAATATTTAAATGACTAAATACGTAAAGAAACTCAGGTTTACAAGGACTGTTATAAAGCTCAAGTCTTGCTATCATCTGGTGAAGGTAGAAACCTGATTTTACGCGTAACACATGAGTAAGTATACATATTTGAAAAATTCACACTTCAAATTCACAATATCTTTCTTTCGAGTCGAATCGCACGAGGAAAATGCCAATGTGTGTCATGTTCCCCCCTCCACCCGACACAGCCAAATAAATGAAGTTGTCAACAATGCTGTGTTCACATCATATAATAATTTAGTTTAAATTTTAGAAAGAAAAAACAATTGGCACGTTTGTTCACGTGACAACTTTATTTGTTTGCTTGTGTCGGGTGACAATTTTGGTTGTGTCGGGTGGCAATTTGAGCCCCTGCCATAACATCTTCAAGTCCATGCTTCGAACTTTTCAAACAGCCCTCACAGTTCTTGACAAACACATCCATATATACTCATGTAATCGATATAATCAATCGTGTAATTTTGACAGTGGGTGTTGGTAACTTAAGCTCTGACCTATATAGAATGTAATAAATAGAGCTGGGGCCCCGTGGGGTCCTGACACGTATACCGAGCTAGCTCCTGATCTGATTTGCACTGCCAAAGGTACTGACATACAGACCCACGGAGGCAGCAGTGAAATTCCTTCTGCGATATTCACAGATAACCTTCTAAGGCTGTCATAAATACAACCACTTGTAGAACCAGTTGATGTTCTCTGGTTTAACAACTGATGGTTGAAATAAGAAAATGAGGCTAGACAAATTATTGCATGAAAATAATATATATGCATGTCAATGGTAGAATAATGTTTTAGAATGAAACACTGATATTGTTTCAAACATTAAATGTTTCTGATTATCTGCACTTTTAATGTATCATTATCAAATAATTTGATAAAACATCAAAAACTGCCACATATATTGATTGTTATAGACATTAAATGCTACAATTGACGTCGAATGTAGCAAATACTCTCTACACGCGCTACAGAACTAGAATATAATTTAAGGATTCCTTTTGTAAATTAACCAAGAGGGCCCATTGTTTCCTCATGAAGAAAATAAGTTTAAAGAAAAATCACTCGCAATGTGTAATAAATTACATCACCATTTATACTCACGCATGTAAAGCCAGAAAGTCAGGCATGCATTTATTATAAGCGTAGAATGCCAATATTTAATTTAATACACAAAACCACTCACGTGTACTGTGGATATTAACAATTCAAAGCTGTTTCAAACTGAAAAATGTCATCCTTACTGGCTAGATTTTTAATGCATGATGCCATTATTGGTTAGCTATATATATACAACTTGCAACATATCTGTATGCACGAAAATCCCACAAAGTTTATTACATGTTGTAGTATCGTAAACAGTTTTAACAATACAAAGAAAAACACAATTAGATTTACTTATTAAAGTACACTGCAGTGGCATCGGTGCACAAGCAAAAATGACAAAACCTGAATACTTTCATCAATACCACTGCCTTCAAGGAAACAATATATAATAGGTGATGTTTTGGGCAGTGGCCCATCTTTATGCTACCATAACCTGGCCACAAATGATAGCTCAACATAGTGTCCTATAATATGGAAATTGAAAGCAGCCATTTTTTCTAAATGTGCAGGGAAAACCTGGGGAGCCATATAAAAATACAGGTGACTTCAGGGAGTACATGCATACTATAAATAAACACGCATCAGGGTTGGGATTGAAACCGACGAACACCTGCATACCAGAAGAGGTAGTAAACATCTCGCCACCGTGGCACCCTATAAAAATAGACACTAGAGAGGTGGACTCACTCATAGTTTTAGACTGCACTCTACACCATGGACCCCAAATAGTATTTCACGTGCCATTAAACAATCGGTTTAACATACAATTATTGACTTGCACAATCAAGATATTCCCTGAGTGGAATAGCAAAAATTGTATTAGTTTGTGAGTTTTTCTCTCTCATGTAAGTAGTTATTGGGTTTGTATTCCATCAATGGTGACATTATAAAAATAATAATAATGTTCTATATATTTGGGCGGCTCAGAGTATTTAACAAAACAGTGCTTACCTATATGTCTTTGTTTAAACACTGTTCATCATGTACGCCGCAGATTAAAAGCCCACCCCACCCATTTGATCTCCAATTACATATGTGATTAATACAGCCATTCCACACTGTCAATATTGCTGGAGTCATTAAGTGAGTATTATTGTGGCTATAAATTATTGTGTGATCAAGCACGCTTTAGCAAACACTTACCAACTGGCGTGGCTGCCACCACAGGGTCTGAGTGGACTGAATACTTGCCAGCTCCTGACGCGTTCACGGCATTGACTCTAAACCGATAGGCCTTGCCCTCCTCCAAGTTTTTCACCTGTGAATGTATCAAAAACAACGCTACTAAGACCAATAGGAAAACTGCACTGGTCATGCATCCACCACCCGCTCATGTAATTGGCTGTCTCTTAAAACAAATTGCATTTTGGGAGAAGAGTTCAGATGGGGAAATGCTGCATGTACCTGCTGGTACCTTCCTCTAAATTAAAGGGTTTTTTTTGTCTTTTTATAAATTTCCTTCAAATTGTGCTTTCGGCATCATATCACGAAACAGTGTTCATTTATAATTCTCACAGAGCAGCACATACATCTAATTAGAGAATGACATAAAGAAGGATCTATCACAGAACTACCCTTGAGATCCCTTGAAATTACCCTTGTTTACCCACAAAAAGGGGGCACAACACTGTCCTAAATTCTCTGCTATATCTTCTTTGGTTCTTTCGGTAAAGTCACGTAGAATGAGAATAAAATAATAAATTGATAAAATAAAATAACACAATAATATTCTCACGACGTTTCGGCCACAACACAAGCGGCCTTCATCAGGTGAAGGGGCGAGACTGTCTGGTAGGACAGCGCTGGAGTGAGAGAGCCACGTTCAGATCACGGCTTTTAAGCTGTGTGAGAGGAACAAAGAGCCTTGACCAAGGAATTAGCATATAATTTAGCATTGAAATGGCTGAATGATTAGCTTGTGACTGGTCACAGAAATAGCTATGTTAAAAGTTAAAGCATACACATCCGCAGAGGCACCCATTGTTAAAAGGAATTAGCATATAATTTAGCATTGAAATAGCTAAGTTAAGGCATACACATCCGCAGAGGCACCCCTTGACAATGGGATTAGCATAGAATTTAGCATTGAAATAGCTGAGTGATTCGCTTGTAACTGCTACAGAAATAGCTACGTTGAAGTCAGAGCATACACATTCACCGAGGCACTTAGTACAAATCAAACAGGAGAATTTAGCATTGAAATAACTAGGCGAATTTAGCATTGAAATAACTGAGTGATTTGCTAGTGACTGGTCACAGAAATGACTACACATCTGAGCTATTCACAGTACTATATAGTGAACCAATAAAAACTAAAATATAAATTACCTTCATGTTATCAATAAACTGTATATTCTCCAATCAGCTAAGCTACCAACAATAAGTCGTTATATATCACAATGCTATATGGCGAAAAAATGGGTGGATTCTTACCCTCAAATTTCAGCACCACGGATAGCTACGGGCCCCGTTCAGACGGACGAGTTCGTCCATGGTCGGAACAGAGGAGGGGGAGAGAGACAGCTGCGAGGCCCTAGTATACTCCATGTTGTAAAACTATACCATTAACCGTGGTGTGAGAGGTATTAAGAGGCAATGCTGGCGAAAGAGCTGCGGTCTGAAGGTCATCGTAAAAATACAATTAATTAGAACAGAAATGATTTAACACATCTTTCCAGTGGTTACTAAGCCTGAATCCATCTTCTCGGTTGAAATTGTCTCTGTGCTTGTATATGTGAATGGCCTCATGAACGAATCTCTCATGGTAGCCGGTTGGTTTGCAAAGAACCTCCGTCTTGGAGAAGTCAATGTCATGTGAGCCCACTGAATTGTAACAGTGATCTGCCACGGCAGAGGAGTTCGTCCTACCGTGTTTCAAGTCTGCTTTATGTTCGCGGATGCGGTCCGAGATATGTCTTTTGGTTTCTCCAATGTAGCTACTACCACAGAGGCACTTTAGTTTGTAAACGCCCGGGTACTGTATGTCTGGAAGAGCATCTTTTACAGATGGAACTAAGTCACGGATTTTATGTACTGTGTTGAATCGGACCTGGATCTTGTGTTTATTCAGGATTTTGGAGATCTTTTTAGTGACCCCTGCAATGTAGGGTAAGGTGATGGTTTTGAGTGGCTCCACAAGAGGATCCTTCTTCATGACTGGAGTGATGGCTTTGCGGATTGTGTAGTCGGAGTAGCCATTAGCCCTGAGAGCCTGGTGTACGTGCTTGAGTTCACTGGTAATGTGTTCCTGGTCGGAAATGCATTGGGCTCTATGGTATAGAGTCTTGATGAGGGAGTTCTTCTGGGATGGATGGTGGTGGGAATCCGGTTTCAAGTAAGCATCTGTATGGGTAGCTTTCCTGTAGACAGAGTGGCTCATTGAACCATCATGTCTCCTTTTAATTAAGACATCCAAAAAGGGTAGTTTGCCATCTTTTTCGACCTCCATGGTAAATCTGATGGCTGGGTGTATGGAATTGATGTGGTCGCGGAATTGGTCTAGAGCAGGCTGGCCATGTGGCCAGATGACAAAGGTGTCATCAACGTACCTCTTCCATAAGGTCGGGCGTAGAGTGGCAGTCTGGATGGCGTCAGTTTCAAATTTTTCCATGAATACGTTGGCTACAACCGGAGATAGGGGGGAGCCCATTGGGGTGCCCTCAGTTTGTTTGTAGAAAGTTCCATTCCAGGTGAAGTATGTGTTGGTTAAGCAATGTCTCACCAGGGGGGGTACATCAGTATGCAGTCCTTGATGAACCAGGTCTTCAATGATAGCGATGGTGTCAGGTACCGGGACTTTGGTGAACAAGGACACCACATCAAAACTGACAAGCAGGTCGTTTGGGGACAGGGAAATGTCTTTGATTGTCGATACCAGGTGAGTAGAATTTAGTACCGCAGAGGTGGTTTTTCCAGTGAAAGGTCGCAGTATATCAGCCAGAAAACGTGCCAGTTTGTAGGTGGGGGAGCTGATAGTAGAGACGATGGGACGAAGGGGTGTATCTTCTTTGTGTATCTTTGGAAGGCCATATAATCTTGGTGGTCTGGCAGCAGAGGGTTTCAACGAGAACTGTTTGATCTCATCAATTACCAAAACGAACAAAATTATCTCTGATTCAACAGCATTGTTGAATCAAGACTCTATACCATAGAGCCCAATGCATTTCCGACCAGGAACACATTATCAGTGAACTCAAGCACGTACACCAGGCTCTCAGGGCTAATGGCTACTCCGACTACACAATCCGCAAAGCCATCACTCCAGTCATGAAGAAGGATCCTCTTGTGGAGCCACTCAAAACCATCACCTTACCCTACATTGCAGGGGTCACTAAAAAGATCTCCAAAATCCTGAATAAACACAAGATCCAGGTCCGATTCAACACAGTACATAAAATCCGTGACTTAGTTCCATCTGTAAAAGATGCTCTTCCAGACATACAGTACCCGGGCGTTTACAAACTAAAGTGCCTCTGTGGTAGTAGCTACATTGGAGAAACCAAAAGACATATCTCGGACCGCATCCGCGAACATAAAGCAGACTTGAAACACGGTAGGACGAACTCCTCTGCCGTGGCAGATCACTGTTACAATTCAGTGGGCTCACATGACATTGACTTCTCCAAGACGGAGGTTCTTTGCAAACCAACCGGCTACCATGAGAGATTCGTTCATGAGGCCATTCACATATACAAGCACAGAGACAATTTCAACCGAGAAGATGGATTCAGGCTTAGTAACCACTGGAAAGATGTGTTAAATCATTTCTGTTCTAATTAATTGTATTTTTACGATGACCTTCAGACCGCAGCTCTTTCGCCAGCATTGCCTCTTAATACCTCTCACACCACGGTTAATGGTATAGTTTTACAACATGGAGTATACTAGGGCCTCGCAGCTGTCTCTCTCCCCCTCCTCTGTTCCGACCATGGACGAACTCGTCCGTCTGAACGGGGCCCGTAGCTATCCGTGGTGCTGAAATTTGAGGGTAAGAATCCACCCATTTTTTCGCCATATAGCATTGTGATATATAACGACTTATTGTTGGTAGCTTAGCTGATTGGAGAATATAGAGTTTATTGATAACATGAAGGTAATTTATATTTTAGTTTTTATTGGTTCACTACATAGTACTGTGAATAGCTCAGATGTGTAGTCATTTCTGTGACCAGTCACTAGCAAATCACTCAGTTATTTCAATGCTAAATTCGCCTAGTTATTTCAATGCTAAATTCTCCTGTTTGATTTGTACTAAGTGCCTCGGTGAATGTGTATGCTCTGACTTCAACGTAGCTATTTCTGTAGCAGTTACAAGCGAATCACTCAGCTATTTCAATGCTAAATTCTATGCTAATCCCATTGTCAAGGGGTGCCTCTGCGGATGTGTATGCCTTAACTTAGCTATTTCAATGCTAAATTATATGCTAATTCCTTTTAACAATGGGTGCCTCTGCGGATGTGTATGCTTTAACTTTTAACATAGCTATTTCTGTGACCAGTCACAAGCTAATCATTCAGCCATTTCAATGCTAAATTATATGCTAATTCCTTGGTCAAGGCTCTTTGTTCCTCTCACACAGCTTAAAAGCCGTGATCTGAACGTGGCTCTCTCACTCCAGCGCTGTCCTACCAGACAGTCTCGCCCCTTCACCTGATGAAGGCCGCTTGTGTTGTGGCCGAAACGTCGTGAGAATATTATTGTGTTATTTTATTTTATCAATTTATTATTTTATTCTCATTCTACGTGACTTTACCGAAAGAACCAAAGAAGATGAATCATTGCAGTCACGAAAGCTTTAAATCGAAATTCTCTGCTATAGATAAATATTTGCAGCATGGCAGTAAAAACTGATATTATAATTCTTAAATGTGGACTTTTGACAAAATTAGTGGGACAACCAAATGTAATAAAATTATTTGTTTTGGACAGTCATTGGTGACCAGGCTGAGACCATTAACATGCTTGAAAATCTGGCATGATCACAGAGGACTACCCAGACTTGATTCATGGATCCAAAAGGTGTTGACTCAGTGTTCTCTGGATTCAACTTTCAAGGGTGGTGACACGGCCCATCGGTAGCGTGTTCGCTGATTGTTGTCAAGGTTTGAGATTAGAATACGGAGGGCCACCCTGGAGGTAATTGCGGGTGTGTGAACCGTAACAATGTGCACCCGTCTACTGTCCAGCGGACGTGAAAGATTCCATTGATAGACCATGGCTGATGACCACGATGCAGTCAAAAAATGAGACAGCGATTCATAATAGATTTTTGTGGAAGGCCACATAATGAGCTGGCCATATGTATGTCACGAAAGCCTCCACCATCCAACATAGCCAAACAAATAAAAGTGCCATGTGTTGGACATACATGTCCCAGATAAGTATTGTATCAGCTAACTGGTTAATTCATGAACGATTCTCACAACCAAATTTAAAATCAGATACGAAATATTGATTGAAACTGCGCTAAAAAGCATAATCTTTACTAACCACTGTGCAACCACGACAAATTATACATTGGAATAATTATAACCAACATGAGCATTACTGAATTAATTACCTGACGCTATAGCCTATTTAAAAATATATATAAATAAAAAAACACATAAATAATTATTTCATGCAATAATATAAAAAATATATATTTGTAGTTCAACTCACAAACACACACACACAGTACAAACATTGTTGGAAGGCACTTTAATTTTAAGTGGATCTGAGAAAATACTCATTGGATTTGCAGCAAGATTGCCTGCAGGGGCAGCAATACCTTGTAGTATCTTTTGGACACCAAGTCGGTGTTGACCAACTGCCAGTGTTCCTCAAGAGTGTCCTCTGTAATTTCCACATTGAACCCAGTGACGGGGCTCTTGCCCGTGTAGAGAGGGGCCTTCCAGAGCACCACGATAGACTTGGCTCGAACTTCGGTGAACACCACATCAAAGGGAGGGCCTGGACAAGGTGACAACAAATGATCCGGTAAATGACCACGCAATAACATTCAATGTCCAGTTGCGTCGCATGTTTTGCACATGCATACACTTTCCGAGTACAAGTCAGTTATACCAAAATTGAACAGGTGAAGCATGTTAAACAGAAGAAAAAAAGCGCCAACGGCATATATGTTTCAGAAATTGGGACCTATATTGAAAAATAAGTAGTTATTAACGTTAACAATAATTCGATTATTGCATTGTTACATATGGTCTGTTCACCTCTATGGACGTGAATGCTGGACAATTACACACAGTCTAAAAAGCAAGCAATCTTTTAAAGGTAGTAAAACTGTCATGAAGACACAAGACGAGTAACATAATTGTATTACAGACAGCAGGTACACAAAGATACTCTTTGGTTCTTTCTGGAAAAGTCATGTAGGTATAAAATAAAATAATTCACGATGTTTCATGTGCAACACAAGGGTCCATCATCAGGTGGGAAAGCATGGTCTGCTGCTGAGGCAGACTGTTTTAAGAGGTTTGAAATGGGTGTAGCCCAAGGGTCATAAAGAAGTGGACGGGGCTAGTGATGTCAATGTGAGAAATTAGCATGATGTCAATGTGAGAAATTAGCATGATGTTAATGTGAGAAATTAACATGATGTTAATGTGAGAAATTAGCATGATGTTAATGTGAGAAATTAGCATGATGTTAATGTGAGAAATTAGCATGATGTTAATGTGAGAAATTAGCATGATGTTAATGTGAGAAATTAGCATGATGTTAATGTGAGAAATTAGCATGATGTTAATGTGAGAAATTAGCATGATGTTAATGTGAGAAATTAGCATGATGTTAATGTGAGAAATTAGCAAGATGTCAATGTGAGAAATTAGCAAGATGTTAATGTGAGAAATTAGCATGATGTTAATGTGAGAAATTAGCATGATGTTAATGTGAGAAATTAGCATGATGTTAATGTGAGAAATTAGCATGATGTTAATGTGAGAAATTAGCATGATGTTAATGTGAGAAATTAGCATGATGTTAATGTGAGAAATTAGCATGATGTTAATGTGAGAAATTAGCATGATGTTAATGTGAGAAATTAGCATGATGTTAATGTGAGAAATTAGCATGATGTTAATGTGAGAAATTAGCATGATGTTAATGTGAGAAATTAGCATGATGTTAATGTGAGAAATTAACATGATGTTAATGTGAGAAATTAACATGTAACTGTAAGATAGGAGGAGAGCAGCCTCCTCAACCCAACGGGTGCAATCCAAAGGACACGTGAGCATTAAAGAGTGAAATCCAAAGGCATGAGAGTGCAATGTAAAGGACATGTGAGCATGAGACATCTAAGAGAGATATAATATGATTAATTATAAAAAAAGGAAAGTTAGATTTCTTGGACATTTAAATGAGAAAACAAAAGACTGAATACTATGTTCGTTCGTTTCTTAATATTATGTTTTTTCACTGGGAAATGTTTAGGTACAAGGAGCCAAGAAAGATAGTGGATTAAGAATAAAAGCAATTTGATTCAAATCAAGTTAATTTTATTTCACATCCTGCAAAATCCACCAGCCCTGGATAGATCTCCCAGCTTTCGGCTGGTGGATCATTAGATGCAGATTACAATTCAGAATTACAGTAAATAGTGACGTGTAACTTGCTGTTTAGTTCTACGACAGAGATGAAGGCACACGAAATAGAACACAGATGCAAATAAAGGGAAAAGAGATCACCTCATTCATGGAGATTACAGTGCCAGCAGTACATGCAGACTTAGAGAGAGATGGATACTAGCAGAGAATACACTGACATGGAGACAGCAATCACAGCAATGGCAATAGTAATAATATGCCATGACCTTTGATTTCAGGTCTCTTTGGACTGGCACCTTTCGACTCACGGTACGAGCAATACATTTCCCAGGCTCAATTTGAAAGTGAGGTGCTGCGGTGTTAAAATCCCATTTTGGGGGACATGCACCAACCCAGTGTAATTACAATGCCACACTCTGATGGGCTGTTGGCACTGGGACAAGCTGACATCACGACATCACGACATCAATGCTATTGATCCCATGGTCCCTTATTGTTGGAGACATTTTGGCAGATCTCTGGCAGGTTTGCTAAAACTGCCCTAAATCCATCCTGTGAATAGGACAGAGAAAGCGTTGTGGAAGTCATCCAATTTATGCCATGCCTTTAAAAAAATATCCACCAAATAACCACCAAAAGATGTGCACCAAATCGAAAATACGCTCCAATGCAGATAGTGTTTTATTCTACTTTAAATGGCCTGGCTTCACAGGATTGTACTTGATAAATATTTTCCTTTTTTATAAAATTGCATAATTGAAAGAAATAGTGCATTGCTAGATGATAAACAGGACTAACTTATTTACCATACTACCAGCAACATGCAGAGTTAGCTGGTAGGGGCCTTCATGCCTTAAAGGAAGCAAGTCTAAATTAATATCAACTCCTCGTGCCTTTGAGGGAATTTTAATGTCCAGTTTTACTGTTTAATGCAATGCTTTCTACATTTACCTAAAAATTGTAATTTAATTAGGTGGAACTTGATGAGGTTATTTGCAGATAAAAGTGAATCACGGTCCACACTCATGCATGTTTGAAACACAAACATTTAAAAATGTTACATTGCTTTTGATGATTAATCACACCTAGGATCTGTACAATCACAGACTGCCTTTCAGGTTGTGAATTTACATTAAATATGCTTTCAAATTATACATCTGCCAATTTAACCACAACCATAAAAGTGTTATTTACATTATTCCATTCCAAAGATTTATTTTTGGTCTATCCCAAGGTTATGGGTATGCAGCTTAACAACGCCTTAGTGAATAGCTTGTACAGTCATTGCACACGCAATTTACAGGCAGTGGATTCCAGTAGCTGCAACAGCTTGATTATTTTGAATTGTCTCAAAGTGCCAACGAAACATTACTATTCATTTACATGAGAATCAGAATTATGACATACATAAACATCAGCGTTTTTAAATGGACATTTATGATGGACAATACTACGTTTCATGAACGGTCATCAGAAGGTCAATAAAACATGTATATTGTGATCTCTAGTGAGACCTCTACAGGCATAAAACACCACCATTATCACATTGCATTCCAATAACCAATACACATGTGCAGTGTTAGAAATGCCATATTTATTTAATTACATTTTGACATATGCAATGGTGTCTTTTTTTGCTTTTTACTTGGCTACTTTAGGAATTTACAGTGCGTCGATCAGTCATCCCTTGTGTATTCCTTGTTGAACATTATGTATTAAAAAAGATGGCTTTGCATGCAGGACATATGCTTTGTGTAGTGCTACGCATTGGAACAAAGCGAACACACTGATGTTGTGCTAGTCGTCGTCTCTACCTGCCTGCTGTCACAAACAAAACATTACATCCACAGTTAAGGCGAATTGTGAGAAGTGTAATAGTTCATCGTTTGCTCATCCTTAGAAATCTGAGCTCATCTGCTTGAGCATTGTAGTTCAAATTAAATATTTTCAACAACCACAAAAAAGTACAGTGAAGGCATTAAATCATTCTTGTGGATTGTTTTTGACTTTTAAAAATGCCACCATCTGCTGTGTGCACAGCTGCATTATTTTCAACAGTATTGTTAGGATATACTTGACGAGTAAGTCAAAGTATTTACTTGTAATGATTGCGACAATAAACAATGTCACATTGCTATTCACAGTGGCTGGTATTTCAAAATTATACATCGATGAAAATGTCACCATGACCACACTGCAATTATGTGTTTTGTTTCTGCTATATACGTATACTAAATTGATTTCTAAACAGGTATTAAGAACATGGTACAGTGTACTGATTAGTAAAATATAATTATTAAGGTTGTAATAGGCTGGAAGTGATTTGGAGGCATTGGGTTTAAGCTTTTATCTGGAGGTCAATCAGCAACCCAAATGATGAGACCACTTTTATTTAATCATTACCCATAGATGAAAATCACTGTCAGATGTCAGTAATGGCACCGTGGACTAACAGTGACAGAGGACAGGCTCAGAGATTGTGCAATCACCTCTTGAGTCCAACGTTTATCAGTTTGTAACTGAATTGCTTCATGGGCAGATACAAAATTGCTCATCTTTCCCTTCTTCAAACAGCACTTAAATTCAATCTACTAGCAGATGATAAATATGCCACAATACTTTTGCATTACCTTGATCGGGCACCAAATGGACAGTAGTACCAAGAGTGGCATTACTGGCAGGCTGCTGTGGTGGCGAGATGTTAACTACCTTGGTTGGTATACAGGAGGTCATCAGTTCGATCCTGACCCTGATGTCCGTATATTTGGAGTTTGCATGTTCTCCCCATGGTCACGTGGATTTTTCTTAGGGTCCTCTGTTTTTTTCCCTCCACAGTTAGAGTCAACATGCATTCAGAGTATTTGGCTGCTCTACTTTTCCACATGATAAGCTACTTTTCTGAGCTATCATTTGTGGCAAGGTCGCTTTTGAAAAAAGAGCCAAAAAGCTCAGTGGGCCTTGCCTGGTAAGTAAAGAAAAATAGGTGACGAAGGTGTAGTGGGGTGTGATGTCAGCCATCTGCCTCCAAAAAAAAAAAAACTTGCCAAGACTGGTGACGCCCCCAGACCGAGCATTCTAGGTGCGATGTTTACCATTCTAGGGAGAGGTTGTGCCCTCCTTAAAATTAGGCCTGGCCCCATCGCTGCCCTCTCAAATGGGATCCTTGGTGAATGCCACAGTGCAGCCACAATCCACAAGGACACTGAACAACATTGCAATGTGTCATTTTCCTTTGCCAAATGTGAGGCACGGTTGACAAATGGGAATAGATTTTCACCGCTATAAATTAGTTTATACCATCGGTGAGTATATGTAGTGCAGCATATGGAGCAGTGCTACAGGCATAACCAGCCTCAAATTGGCTGGCATGTGAAGATTTGGCAAATAATTGTGGGGATTTAAGATCAGTTTGAGGGGAAGGGTCAGGGGATAAACCTTAGTGGGTCCAATTGAACACAGCTGGAGGTATTCACTGGCTTAAGCAGACAGCTGCTGACGCTCAATTATCTAGGGCACCTTGTGTCAAGACAGAAACCAGGTGGGTGTCCAAGATGGAAGACTGCCCACCAGAAGCCTACGTGAATTAATTGTGATTTGCCTTGAGAACAATGTAAAAGGCAAAGGTACAATTGCTTGTGCATACCACTTGTGGTTAAAGGTACCTCCATGAGAGAGCCCCTCTAGAGGGCATTTGGCCTACTCTTCCATGCTGGCCAGACATATTGGAAGAGGTCAGACTATCCACACTTTACACCACTCCCAAGCCGCCCTTCCTATCCCTACTTTAATGAGCACAAACCCACATATAAATAATCCGCTATGGATAACACATGCCCCACCATCTTAGAAATGATTGCCTTTCGCGTAACCAGCGGTGTTGTCACAAGCTGCGTTCGTTATTCCATGTGTTCGACACACAACATTACTGCTGTGTAGGTTTCTGCGGTTGTGCTGTGTAGTTCTCTGATGTTGTTTGGGTTTCACCGCATGTTGTTAGGATGTGATGGGAACTTCTACAGAAACTCGCTTGAGCTCAATTCGTAGAGTTAATCGCGTCGGTACAATCCTGAATCAAATCAGGAAGCTATATGGTAAACCCTCGCTATGCGCGAGTTCTGGATTCGCGAGTTTTGCATATTCGCGAGTTACTAAATGTATACTAATTCCCTATTCGTGACCCATCGGACTGCAGTATTCACGGGTGTATATAGTGCCAGACCACCGACACTCGGGAGGTGTGCACAGACTTTTACATTTGAAACTCTTTGCGAAGGTTAGGCACGCTCCCTCGGCTGCCCGCTTAGTCCTCAGTCTCGCAGCAATCCCGCACTGAACTTGCTATTTTACTTTATACGTACTTACAGTCGCCTCGTTTACACATTTCGGTATAAACGAGTCGACTGTGAGGCTGATGAAAAAAGAGTTAATGCAATTAGGGAAAGTGCTCCGGCTAGCGCTCCGCAAGAGTGCTACAATTATAACTGTGCAGGTGTTTAAGATTAGGATTTTCCCCTTTTTCTGGCAACAAAACAGGTACATCATTAGACCTCCTTTGCCAGTACCAAAATGTAATAATAGGGTTTTTCCCCTTTTTTCAGGCAAAAAAACTGAAACCTTTTTACAAGGATTCATGTCTGCATTAACCACAATACCTGCAGTCAAAATGCAAACAAAAAACATACTATGATAATATATGCATTGTCCTTGAAACTGATTGGTCCACACCAAGGGACGGCTTTCTTTTGAGCCTCGACCCAATTGGTGCTCGACCCAATTTTGTTTGCATTTTGACTGCAGGTATTGTGGTTAATGCAGACATGAATCCTTGTAAAAAGGTTTCAGTTTTGTTGCCAGAAAAAAAGGGGAAAACCCTATTATAACAAAACAGGTGTGTTAAGATGTTAAAACACCAAACTGAAACCTTTTGCAAGGAATCATGTCTGCATTAACCACAAATAGTCGTGGTAAAAATACAAACAAAAAACATTCTCTGACAGTATATGCATTGTCTTTGAAACTGATTTGTCCACACCAGAGACAACTTGTCTTTGTGCTGTTCACCTAATGGCGTCCTCTGGTCTAACACCGTTTGAGACTAGGCTCTAAAGAAAGCTGTCTCTGGTGTGGACCAATCAGTTTCAAAGACAATGCAAATACTGTCAGAGCATGTTTTTTGTTTGTATTTTCACCACAAGTATCTGTGGATAATGCAGACATGATTCCCTGCAAGAGGTTTCAGTTTGGTGTTTTAACATCTTAACACAACTGTTTTATTGCCAAAAAAAGGGGAAAACCTATTCTTATATCTTGATACTGGCAAAGGAGGTCCCATGATTTACTTACTTAATTATTGTAGTCATTGTAATTAAACATGTACCATTCCCCCCCGTCCGTACCCCCATGTTCACTCGTACCAGGAACATAACCCCATTTTTCCCATTGGCACAAGCTTCCTGCATTCGTGAATTCCGCATTCCCAAGCGCTTTCAAGAACGTGACCCTCGCGGATAGAGAGGGTTTACTGTGCAGGATTGTTTCTTACGTTGGGTGACCATACCTGGTTCTGGGAAGTTCCACTCCTTGAATAGAAAGGCAGAGCTGGGCTTGGAGACGTCGCCCACACCCGCCAAGTTCTCCGCTCGTATGCGGAACTGGTATTCCTTGCTGTCCTCCAGTCCACTGATCTGATGGCAAACAACACAATACGTACAAATATAATGATGTGTAAATAAGCAGCATCTGTCAACAGATGTATGTAAGACAAACAACAGAAAAAACGAGATTTGGTATGTCAGAGTGACATAACTGGATTGAGAGATATAGTTTAGCACAGTTGGATTTGCTACAGCAATGGCATTTTTATTTTACTCATTTAATTCACCCATTTTGAGAGAGAAGACAATTAAAGGAGTGTTTTTTTAATTCTAAAATAAATATATATTTTTAATGATTTAACCAAGAATAGCTTTCAATTAGCCATTCTGTCACACCTCAAACATGAACACAGTATTTCAAAATCAATCTAACTTTGAGCATTTTAGGGGAGCAGTGGTGCAGTAATTTATGCGCTGAACTGTATAAGGGAAAACCTTAGTACGATTTCCAAACACATCGAGCAATGGTGTTGAGTGGTATCTGAATCGGCCATCCCTCTGCCTTCACCAAATCACATTGGCCAGTGTAGGGAAGTATGGTCAAACAACCCCCACGAGTGACATGACATGGGGAGGCCTTCATTCAACAGTGAAGTGACAACAGAGTATAAATCATTACTATTGTTGCAATATTATTTGAGTGTTCCATTCCGTGTAAGGCGCAATTTGCTGCTCCTTCACGAATGGTCTAAAGACTCTAAAAATGTTGAGGCATTAAAACTAAATCGAATCAGGAAAAATGTACGTGCATCATTATCATCATCATGAAGGATTCCTTTATTCTTTATGAATGTAATCTCGATCTTGAATACAAAACAATTAGGAAGAATACACTTGTTAAACGTCAAGTCCAATCTGTATTAAGTGATTTCTCTATAAATCAAGCACGGAAATGACAATGACTCAATGTCCATCCATAATTATATCCTGAAAAGCATAGAAGGTTTATATTGACTGTAGCCCATGGTGGTAATAGGGAAATAAGATTTTAGATTTTATTGGATTTTTTACTTTGTACCGCAGAACTTATATTTGTGTTCCCAGTATAATACTTTACACAGCATTTGAATGCAGTGGAACGACCTGTAAGGCCAACTTATGTATTTTATTTCCTGAACACCTATTCTGCGATGGCAACAGTCTACAAGTACAAATAAGATACAAAAAACTCACATTCGTAATAAAGAGCCATTGCTCAAAACGTCACCTATTCATATTCTTGGTTCTTTCGGTAAAGTCACGTAGGTAGAAAACAAAAATCTAAATTAAAAGCAAAAAACCAACGACGTTACCCAAAGAACCAAGAATATGAATTCCTGCAGTCACGAACGTTTTAAGTCTAAACGTCACCTATTGCATTTTTTTTCATATTTTTGCCAATGTTATTAACAAATATGTGGACTTATTCTCCAACAATGCATAGTGCCACAAGCCATATTGAAAATTAACAAATGACTCCATTGACATTTAAAGTCGAAGAAATAAAGTGTAAGCTATTAAATTAATCGCAAATGGTATTCGCAAATCATGTAATTATCGGGGAAGCAGCTGCAGGGTTTGCACATTCGACCACTGTTGAATCGTGACATAGCCAACACGGTGGCATAGTATGAAGAAGGCTCGATTATTGCAACTCACTCCTCTATGGTACGTCTGGCAACAGCATTACCAAGAGGCAGCGTGTACACAATTCTTCGGCACGTGTCGTGACGGGTACTGCAAGATCCGACCAAGTTCGCCCGGTGCTCACAGCTGCATTAGCTTACGGTTGCCAAATGAATATATTATAAGGACGCACTCATTACACGCAAAGTGCTTGCCACAAATCAACCACAATACCTTGCTGATCTTGTCAAGGAACATAAACCATCACCCGAACTCTGGTCACCCTCGCTGCAGTGGCTTGTGGCTGACCATCGAACAGACGGCCAATGCATCGCGCTGCTTTTAGATGCGCTTCTGCAGCCGTCTTGAACGCTCTTCCTGCCGATATTAGGAAGCCACTGGGAGCTATATACTTTAAAATCTAGATTGAAAACTCATTCCTTTAGAACTGCGTTTTTGTGTGTTAGCTTGTTGTCCTTCCCCTGCACCTCTTATTAGCACGGTTGGCTCCGTTCCGTGCGAAATAAGTTCAACATAGTACGTACCTTGCACACCCGCTCTCCCATAGACTGCGTTTTGGCCTCGTTCCATTCCCCAGCTTTGCCCGCCACCACTTCGCAGTAATCCACGTAGTAGTGCGTCACGCTGGCACCTCCCAGGAATGTTGGCTCCTTCCAACCCAGCACCATGCCATCCTTTTGGGAGTTGAGCAACGTAATCCCATGGGGAGGCGATGGGCTCACTGCAGGAAGGACGAAGAAGGGTGACACTGAATCAGGAAAATTGTCAACATTCTTGGGGGGAAACTTGTAATTTATTACGTGTGTGTGTTCGAGCAGAAACGTTCATCCTTGCATTCTAATGTGCAGTGAGGGAAAAAAACGTATTTGATCCCCTGCTGATTTTGTACGTTTGCCCACTGACGAAGAAATGATCACTCTATAATTTTAATGGTAGGTTTATTTGAACAGTGAGAGACAGAATAACAACAAAAAAATCCAGAAAAACGCATGTCAAAAATGTAATAAATTGATTTGCATTTTAATGAGGGAAATAAGTATTTGACCCCCTCTCAATCAGACAGTTTTCTGGCTCCCAGGTGTCTTTTATACAGGTAACGAGCTGAGATTAAGAGCACACTCTTAAAGGGAGTGCTCCTAATCTCAGCTTGTTATCTGTATAAAAGACACCTGTCCACAGATGCAATCAATCAATCAGATTCCAAACTCTCCACCATGGCCAAGACCAAAGAGCTCTCCAAGGATGTCAGGGACAAGACTGTAGACCTACACAAGGCTGGAATGGGCTACAAGACCATTGCCAAGCAGCTTGGTGAGAAGGTGACAACAGTTGGTGCGATTATTCGCAAATGGAAGAAACACAAAAGAACTGTCAATCTCCCTCGGCCTGGGGCTCCATGCAAGATCTCACCTCGTGGAGTTGCAATGATAATGAGAACGGTGAGGAATCAGCCCAGAACTACACGGGAGGATCTTGTCAATGATCTCAAGGCAGCTGGGACCATAGTCACCAAGAAAACAATTGGTAACACACTATGCCGTGAAGGACTGAAATCCTGCAGCGCCCGCAAGATCCCCCTGCTCAAGAAAGCACATATACATGCCCGTCTGAAGTTTGCCAATGAACATCTGAATGATTCACAGGACAACTGGGTGAAAGTGTTGTGGTCAGATGAGGCCAAAATGGAGCTCTTTGGCATCAACTCAACTCGCCGTGTTTGGAGGAGGAGGAATGCTGCCTATGACCCCAAGAACACCATCCCCACCGTCAAACATGGAGGTGGAAACATTATGCTTTGGGGGTGTTTTTCTGCTAAGGGGACAGGACAACTTCACCGCATCAAAGGTACGATGGACGGGACCATGTACCGTCAAATCTTGGGTGAGAACCTCCTTCCCTCAGCCAGGGCATTGAAAATGGGTCGTGGATGGGTATTCCCGCATGACAATGACACAAATCACACGGCCAAGGCAACAAAGGAGTGGCTCAAGAAGAAGCACATTAAGGTCCTGGAGTGGCCTAGCCAGTCCCCAGACCTTAATCCCATAGAAAATCTGTGGAGGGAGTTGAAGGTTCGAGTTGCCAAACGTCAGCCTCGAAACCTTAATGACTTGGAGAAGATCTGCAAAGAGGAGTGGGACAAAATCCCTCCTGAGATGTGTGCAAACCTGGTGGCCAACTACAAGGAACGTCTGACCTCTGTGATTACCAACAAGGGTTTTGCCACCAAGTACTAAGTCATGTTTTGCAGAGGGGTCAAATACTTATTTCCCTCATTAAAATGCAAATCAATTTATAACATTTTTGACATGCGTTTTTCTGGATTTGTTTTGTTAATCTGTCTCTCACTTTTAAAATAAACCTACCATTAAAATTATAGACTGATAATTTCTTTGTCAGTGGGCAAACGTACAAAATCAGCAGGTGATCAAATACTTTTTTCCCTCACTGTATGCTCATAATAGCTGGCTTCAAGCAGGCCTATCCTTGTCCCTCATTGTTTTAGAGGTGTGTTTTTATGGAATCGTTACAACCGCTCAGTACATTTGCACGAATTAACAATAAACGTTGTTGTGGGGGAATTAAACAACAAAATAGATAGGCACACGATGCATTTTAATACCTGCAAATACATATATATTTTTACACATCCCATCAGCTCCACAGCCTTCTGGGAGTGCATAATGGGCAACTTGCAATTTGAGCAAAATTGCACCGTCAAGTCAAAGTAAATGTTACACGATCAGTTTTGCCGTAATGTACGCCTGATTAAATGCAGAGGCTGAAATACAATGGCCATTTACAATAAAGTAAAATATATTTCATATTAAATATTACAATTTTGCTCTGGACTCATCCTAACAATGCACTAATGTCCTACAATTACAATGTATACTTTTAGGAATAGCACATTATAAGTGTATATTAACATTTTAAATGTTTAATACTTGTACTGCATAAGTGTTTAACAGAAACCTTTACAATATTTTTTACATGTACTGATTACACTTAAATCAAAGCCTTCCTACTTGAATGTTAATCAATGCAAGAGAAGACCAGGGTGTTGAAGGAGGGGAGTGGTGGAGACAGATACATTGTCCTTCTCCCATGAACAAATGAAAAATAAACTATGAACTATTTTTTTTATTTCACCAGGTAAGGCCCACTTAGCTACATTTTTCTTTTTCAGAAGCCACCTGGCTACAACTTATAGCTCAACGAAGTGGCTTACCGTGTTGAAATGAATTGCGGCCAAATAATCTAAACACAAAATTCTAAATGTAGAGGGAACAACCAGAGGACCCGGATAAAAATCCACGCCATCACAAGGAGATACACATGCAAACTCCAAATATATAGGCGTCAGGGTAAGGATCGAACCCACGCAATTCCTGTATGCCAGGCGAGGTTGTTAACTCCTCCTCATTGTGACACCTCAACTTGGAGAAAGGGCTTTGGGTGGATAATGGGAATATTCATGTTTCTAATGCTTGTGCTCTACGTTATGTGGTTTTTAGATTTCCTGTAATAATGCAGAGTTTGTATTCTTATGTTTTTTTAATTCTTTCTGATGCTTGAAATTACACACAACGAAATCTGAAAGCCAATCAGGTATCTGTGGGATTGCTGACAGGAATGAGGGCCATACGTGTTGATGTCAGCATGCTCGTCTCACCAACAAACTGAGCCAACCGATGAGGCTCCATCTATCTGACACACACACGCTCATGTGTGTGTGACAGCTGAGATGTGTAATGCAGCGTGAAGCCAAATATGGCACAGCGCTATCTAAAAACAATTACGATGACGAGGTATGTATGTTGAACTTCTTTCCCACCATACGTACCCAACTTTGCTATCGTACCTCCGTGCTAATCGGAGGTACGACTGTAACGATAAAGGCGATTTCAACATGACTAAAATATATCAATGATTATAATGATGATGGACAACAATGATGATGGTAATCATAAAGGTGATTATAGATGAGAATGATGGTGGAAATGGTAAATGATGATGATAAGCATACCAGTGTTTTCTGCGTATCTACTGGTCAATTTATGTATATATGCCTTTTCCAAAAATGTATGTTAAGAGTGATATTACCTATTTTTAATGTAATAGACTTTATTTTATATATATACGGATTCAGCGAGTTCCAGAAAAGAATCCAGTGACGCACCCCTGCGAACTCCTCCCTCGAGGCAACAAAAGGCCAAAAGGACTCCCCCCCCCATGCCTCGCCCACACATAAGACATCTGCAGGTTAATTGCTGCGGAAAGTTGTAAAACTGGAATAACTACCCTTAGGGGCAATTGAAAGCATCTGTTTCCACAGGCCATGCGATGGCTGGAGGAAGGGGACAGGAGCCAGGCCTTGATGTGACTTAGGAAATTACTTAAATTAATTAGAACAGACACACACACACGTGTACACCAGAACCGACCAATCACCACAGGCCAAGTAGCGGAATCAAAGGAGTCCCGCTCCGTTGTGAGAACAGGAGTTTGAGGTGGGACATTTTGCGGATATAACGAAGAAGCAGAACCACGCAAATCAGGCTTGCAATGGCAAGCTCCGGGGTATGGTCCTCGAGATCAACCATGGGTGTCGAGTCTTGCAGAGGAGAGGGGCGATGTGTTTACCGAGCGTTGAGTTCGCCGCTGATAGAATATCGCTGAACGTTTTATTCTAGATTAACCCTCTTGTATTGAGTCGCTTGCAGAGTCGAGGACTGCGATAAGTTGTATTGTACTAAGCTGTAAGAGTTGTGAGAAGTTTATGAGTACTGGGAGTGAGTGAGGAGCCCTCTTGGAAGAAGGACCGGGAGCACCATGAGACGGACGGGCGCTGCAGCCCAGCAGATGTGCCGACTCGGAACCCCGAGCAAAGGTCGAGTCGACGAGGATCAACAGTGCCGAGCCTTGCGGAGGAGAGGTTGCGATGTGTTTGCCGAGTGTCGAGTTCGGCGCTGACAGCGCATCGCTGAAAGTTATTCCACATTTGAGTGCCAACTCCCTGAAGCAGCTCACAGCAGGAGCCCTCCTGGAGGAAGGTCGGGGGGAGGAGGCACCAAGGGTGCTCACGCGAAGCAGGCAGCTGCTGACAAGGACCTGAGCGTGTCCACTGAGCAGCAAGAAGAAGTCGTATAGACAACTGCCTGAGGACTCTCTTCAAGAGGTGGGGGTGGGTAGGTAGATGACAGGCGCTGTCTCTCCGAGCCGTTCTACAGTCCACAAGGATCAACGGTGTCTGGTGCAAAGGGGGGTGAAGCGCTGCAGCCAGCGGCGACGGGGTCACCGTGCACATCGACGCAGATGGAGCCGGACCCCATCATCCCTGCCAGCACAAGCACCGCGTGACAGCGAGCAAACGTGCCGACTCAGCAACCATCCAGCGGTGGAGAGAGACTGACGGCGCAGGAGGAATACGTGTGTTCGACACACACACATACACGCCGACCCAGCTCCCTGCTTGGAACCTGCGGTAATTTCGGTACAAGTGTAATGACGTAAATGAGCAAGTTCTAGGGCGATAGTGGGTGTCCTATACATTTAGGCTCACTCGAGGGCAGATTCCGGATGTCACGCAGGTCGGGTCAGGACATGACAGTCTGGGTGAACCCGCGAGATCACGTGACCGGACAAGGGGGCATGGGGACCCCAGAAGGGGGCGAGCGGGCCACGTGATGTGGACCCAGAGCCTCCATGAAGGATCAG